GATAACCTTTTGTTGAAAAAGGGACCCCGGACGAGGGATAGCCTGATTTGATCCCAACAAGAAGAACTCAACAAAGAAGTGAACAGATTCTCAACACTAGGCCATCAGGTTGTTTTGAAACTTGGGGAGCCGAATGCACTTCTTCATAGCTACGAACGCTTTTGAGCGGGGAAGTGTGGCGTTTTCTGACGCCAAGACTTATCAAAGAGGAACAAGGGCAAGGTGATCCTGTTTTGTTTTCACATTGTTTTCATTTGTTTTCATAGAATTTTATAGTGATCTTACAACCGGTGGGAACCATTGATCTTAATTGAGTTCATCGTTGAGCTTGTAATAAATGTCCTTGCTTGAGAAAGAGAATGTGCTTGGATAGCCCCCCACCATGGTTGCAAACGCAAAGGCAACAAGCACCCCTGAATCCATTCCCGGCAGTTTAGAGATCTGAATCCGTGAAACCAATTCCGCTGCATTTTTGCATTCTTTGGTGTTGATTTGAACAAAGCACTGCAAGGCGATAGGGCCTCCTAAAACCGATAACTTATATCTTTGTACCAGGCATAAACAATTGATTTTGACGGCGGCTCATATTAAGATATGTATATATAATCACATATATTATATATATATAGAGTAGGAGTAGGAGCAGTAGCTCCTAGGTAGTCGCACTTATTATATTTTGTTTTTGCTTTAAGAACAACATGTGTGTATATATATATGTCTCTATATATATATACGCACACATATTGTATGTATATATTTATATTTGTATGTATGTCTGTATGTATGTCTGTCTGTATGTATGTCTGTATGTATGTCTGTCTGTCTGTCTGTCTGTCTGTATGTATGTATGTATGTATGTATGTACATATAGAGAACATATATTTATGTATGTCTGTCTGTATATGTCTGTCTGTATGTATGTCTGTCTGTATGTATGTCTGTCTGTATGTCTGTATGTATGTATGTCTGTATGTCTGTATGGCTGTATGTCTGTATGTCTGTATGTCTGTATGTATGTATGTATGTCTGTATGTCTGTCTGTATGTTATGATGTCTCTATGCGGATGTCTGTATGTCTGTATGTCTGTATGTCTGTATGTCTGTATGTCTGTATGTCTGTATGTCTGTATGTCTGTATGTCTGTATGTCTGTATGTCTGTATGTCTGTATGTCTGTATGTCTGTATGTCTGCATGTCTGTATGTCTGTATGTCTGTATGTCTGTATGTGTGTATGTCTGTATGTTGTATGTATGTCTGTATGTAGGTATGTGTATGTAATGTAATGTAATGTTGATCGTGATGTAATGAATGTAATGTAATGTATTGTATGTATGTAGGTACATATAGAGAACTTATATGATGTATGTACAAATATATATATATATATATATGAATGTTGATACACACTATTACGGCTGCACCGCCCCTGGGTTCCCAGCTATCCCATAGGAGGATGGCTTCCCAGCCGCGGCGGACGGAAACTCCAGCTTTCGGTGCTTTTGGAGGCGCCTTTTAAAATCGACGGGTCGTGGCATCGACGAATGGGGATGAAAAACTGGTCCGATTCAAACATGGTGATTTTTGATGTGATATAAAACTGGTAGATAGGATATGTGGCAATAGGGTCTAACCCAAAACAAAACATGCAATTCAAAATGGACAATTGTGATAAACCACGGGATATAATTAGATAATTGGTTATTAGAAGTGGCCTATTATACTGAGTGGAATTTGAATCTTGAACTGGACATTAAAAATGGCTTTTGCGACCAGAAGCTTTGAAGCTTTGTGATAATTATAAGATGATCTAATTGGCATAACCTGACATAATAGAGCAATGATCTGAATGATTTGGATATTCTGAAATGGTGTGTTGATAATTCTAGAAATATATATATATATATATACATGTATTTCCATACCGCAAGTATATCTGTCTCTCCCTATCTCTATACCCTCTGGTTATTTAACATAGCCATGGAACATGGCCCATTTATAGATGATTTTCCTATTAATACCTCCATTTATAAGGGATTTTCCATGGCTATGTTAAATAAGCAGATGGTATATAATTTGGGCAATCGAGTCAGACTTGGATAGTGATGGTCCAGCAGCATGCCACAGGCACAATTGGCTTCACAACAGCGTTACTGGGCTGAAAAAAGCGGCCCTTCCATTGGGACAGCTGCTGGGTATATAGGTGTGTATAACTATAAATACAAACGATTACAAGTGCACTATACAGCATAAAACAATTTTAGACGTCAAACTTCCGACAATATGGACAGATGAAAAAGCAGAGGTGGGAATAGTCAGAGAAGAAAAAGAGTCAGAAGAAAGAAGATGCAGGTGCGCGAAAAGGTTGAAAAGTCGCAAAACACTGTGTTTTCCCAATGTTTTGTGGCTCCGGCCGGTCGAAACGTAGGCTTGCTAAAGCGGCGGGGGCGCAGCCATCTGGGGAGATGAGAGATGAAAAATTGCAAGCTGTTGTGGCGGGAAGCACATTTCAAAGTCAAAATGTCACTTTTGGACCCAACGGCGCCACACTACGCTACACTACACTACAGTCCAGTACACTACACTACATCAGCCATCAACATCAACATCAACAACTACAACGCCACTGCCACTACCACTACCACTACACTGCAACTACACCTGCAACTACACTACCACTACGACTACGACTACGACTACCACTACCACTACCACCACCACTACACCACAACTACAATTGCAGCTACAACTATTCTACACTACCACTACCATTGCCACTACAACAGCACCTACTACAACTTCAACTACATCCACAAATACACCTGCACCTACAACTACATTACACTACACTACAGCTACAACTAGAGTACAACTACGGGCAAACACCTCGTCTTGCCCGCGCTTGTCGGCGGCCATCTTCGTATGTGCTGAAAACGTGGTAAAAATTGGAGTGTTTTTTGCATCATGGCTAACTTCATGTTGTATATCGGCACGCACAGCATAGGGACCTGTGCGAGTCTCTTACACATCATCATCATCATCATCATCATCATCATCATCATCGAACACTTATTGAAGATATTTGAGGATCTTCAATGACTGTACAAGTTTCACGGGGGTGGGAGAAATAAACCCTAATTGAAGATCTTCAATGAATGTAGAAGTTTTTAACGGGGGTGGGAGAATTAAACCCTTATTGAAGATCTTCAATGAATGTAGAAGTTTAACGGGGGGTGGGAAATTTATATTCCCTAAATAGTTTAAATACCCTTGTTGATCCCCAATTGAATGTAAAGTCTAACGTTTGATATCCCCAAGTGTACAGCATAGAAGGGGTGTGGGCGACACGGGGTGTTTGCGCGTACAACTACACCACACCACACCACACTACATCCAGCAGGTGCGGGTGAGGTGACCACCGCAACCACTTCAAAAAGCACACTGCAACCACCTTTCGGTCCATCAGTGGATTCGCTCTGTCATTCATTTTTCACAACAACCAAACTCCCCGATAGGTTTCCTATTTTTAAAACTTCCGCCGCCACCTTGTTGGGTACTACTTATTTATATATATATATATATACATATCCAAGAAAATGGGGTGAACGTGTACTTTTGGCTTGGAAACCAATTCCCCGTATTTCCCAATCGCGGCAAGAGCAAGGTGGAATACCATCGGATCGCTGATTCAACATATGCGATTGGCAGGTTCTATTTTGGTGTTTGTGTCATAGGGCTGTCCTCTGACGGGATTTCTTGAAATTGGTGATTGTCTGTGGAATGCCACAGCAGCCACCTACATGCAAACGAGCTGGCACACAGCAGCAATGTCAAGGGTGACAACAGAGAATTCGGAGCGGCTCTTCCAACTGTCACGCCAGGTGGAGGAGTAGCACGGGATGTGACATTTCAGCAGGGACTTGCGTATTACATATAGAATATGTGTATATTTAATGAATCATGCATGGTGTATCATATGCTGTAACTGTGCCATGTTCAAAAATTGATACTCTATATATATATATATAATTGCTGTGTATACATAAAACATCTCTATATACGCACTCCGAGATATTAAAAAAAAACGCGTTTGTGCAGCGTTTGTGCAGAACCAGTGGTCCGCATCATGGAAATGTAGGTACATGTGCGGCACATGGAATGATAAATTAAGTTCATACATTCAGAAAAATATTTCTGCTAGTTCAACACAACCTGGGAAGGTAGCCGTTCCTGTGGCTATGTTAAACCATCGGACGGTATGAATATATTTCTGTTTGATGACAGCGGATGGATCCAATGGTTGGCCTTACCACAGTTGTTGGTTACCCTGTGGTAAACTGACATGACTATGGAAAATCACCATTTTCAATGGGTAAATCCACTAGAAATGATCATTTTCAATAGCGAACTGTTAGTCATTACCAGAGGGTAGATGTGATTTCCGTCCAAGTGAAAAATATGTTTGGGTCGGCTGATCTGCACAACGATGCCACCCAGTCGGTGATCCGGGACTTGTTTTGCTGTAGATATGTCATCTGAAAATGGGGCTAAGCTACATTAACCTCCCAATCTATGGCCAAATGCTAGGGAAAATGGTCTTTGACCATGAACTTTGGCTGGAACCCTATTTTCAGACAAACTCACGTGATGCTTTGATTTAACTGGCAATTTATGCCCAAACTTGGTCAGCAGACCTTTGGGACCCTGGGTAGCATGTGAGTTGGACTCAAAGGGAACTAGAGACCCATCAAGAGTCAGCGGCGGCAACCTCCCAAATTGAATGTTGTGCCAACTAGTGTTGTGACTGCGCAGAATTCTCAGTTGGAACCTTGAAAAGCAATACATGGGATCACTTGCGGAACGAGAATTTTCTCACCTCAGCGTGTTGGCTTCATCGTGAACCCAACAAACGAGAATCACTGAAGACTTCAGTCCAACCACAACGAGGGTTATATCCGTATGGTGGTTTTACAAGTTTTAACCAGTGCACCATGCTACACCCATGATATTTTATCCCCAGCTGGGTAGTTTCCCCGAGGTTGGTATCTACGATTCTCCGCAAGCCAGCGTGCCCAAGTTGATTTGGACCTACTGGGAGAACTTGCACCAGGAGTTGCGGGCGAAATGGGCCATGGATTCGTAAACAAACACGGATCCATCTACGTACAGTAGCAATAGCATATATGATCCAGCCCTCCCAGTCTTTCCCCACCACCCCCAAAGAGTATGGGTTTACATGTCCAGGGGTAGAGATGTAACCGCCCCCCCCTGTGGGTGTGTGGGAGAGGGCTATGTCAGTACCCCAGTAATTAAGGATACATCATATATGCAGGTAAAAAAAGTAGTGATGATCCCCGACCCCCTTGTGGGTGGGATGATGTATAATATAGGGCATCTAGGAATTTTCAGCCTCGGGGTAGTAACCCCCTCGATGCTGGAAACAGCCATGTGTGATTATGTATAAATTAAGGCGCATGGAAAATTTTCGGCATCGGGGTAGTACCCCCTCGATGCCGAAAAGAACGATGCTGTTTATTGGGCATGGGGAGTTCTCGATGTCGGCATAGTAACCTCCCTGGTCCCGGGAACAATTCCCTTGATTGGATTCGGATTGATGTGGTCCAAAATCGGAAATGCACACACATGAACTCATAGAATGATCCTATATGTAATCAAACATTGGATGGGTCTGAATTCTCCCCTTTTTGGAAATTTGGAAATAATTCACGTTTGGGACTTCAAAAACGGGTTCTACGTGTAGAAGCCCGCAGCCCGCCTAATAAAAATCCCCAAGAAATCAATCCTCTGGGGCACTTTGGCGCCGCGCTTTAATCTTCGACTCGGTTGAAGCTGGGCCTGGATCAGGGCTGGACAGGCGGCCTCATGGAATGTGGGAAACCCATAATATAACACCGACCGTGTAGTTTTTGGGATTCTTTTCTAATTATACGTATATAATTCAATAACATCCAGTCATGCACCTCCATTTCTGGACAAAACCTTGTAGTTGCGTAGCACAACGGACCTTGAGCTATATAGGCAACCCCCAAAAAATAGATTCAACCAACAAAAAACGATTGCATAGATCATCAGTGGTATTTGGTATAATTAGGATATATATATATATATAATTTGGTGCATGTAAGGTAAGTTTATGGTACATATAATGGATATATGTATAGATATATATATATATATATATGAATATATATTCATTTATTTATATATACGAATATATATATATATATGCAGATATCTTTATATTTATATCTATATTTAAATATGTTTTTATTTATTTATTTTCTGATTTTTACTTATACATACATACGTGCATACATGCATACATGCATACATGTATGTTCTATGCGTATATCGTATACATCATCAACGAACCAGTAGATGGTGATTTCAAATATACCAGACAATGTTCCGTGAAAATGGCATGTAACACACACTACAGAGTTATACTGTTCATGAATAACAACGGCTGTGTGGATATACTATCATCCATGGAACATATTTCATGCATGGGGCATACAATTCCCATTTTATCCTACTAATTTTCCATCCATATACCATTACTATCCATCTAACCATTCGTTGTATTTAGTTATTAGGTAATTGAAACTTCATTTATTTGTATTAGCTCCCGGATATGCAATTAATATCCAATGAGTATTCCATGGAACTATCATTCATTGACCCATAGAACATCCAATTTCCAGAATTTGTTGGGCATTCTAGAAACGAACAATCATTCATTAATTTGCATGACTCCATTTCCAATTTCCAGAACGTTTTGCGAATTTTCCAAAAATGTCGGGCATTCCAAAAACCAGGAGAACACCAACTACACTGCCCAAGCGCAAATCCATTCGCTCTTGGCGCTCTGTGAACAGTCCTGGAGGACCTTTTGGCTGGCAGGTTGCTAGTCCAGTCAAAAATCTGGAGGAAATTCCTGCGGATTTTAGCATCAAAAATGAGGATTTAAGAATCAAGACTGAGGCATGGGTGTTTGGCCATCTTGTGATTTTTATGAGGGAATTGACATCCCCCACCAATAAAAACAAAGTGATTTGCCCATCAAACACTGGGAACTTTCCATTCCAAGATCGCGGTGAACGCCGCAATGGAAATCGGATGTGTTCCAAGTTTTCACAAAATTGTCCATGTTCGATCAAAAACACCAGTTTTTATTCAGAAAAAACGCAAAATTCCCAAGCAAAAACTGTCCATGTTCGACCTGGGCGATGCTGGCGCAGGAGACTCAACCCAGGATGGACAGTGCACGTCCTTGACCAGGTCTGCGGCTGGTCGACCGATGGTGAATTTTTGGCGGAAAGAAGGGGAAATGTGTGGGAAAAATGTATGTTTTAACTATGGGAAATGGAACAAAAACATACAAAAACTCTACTTACTCGAAAATCAGGAATCATCATGACTCATCTATGTATTTTCATGATTTATTCACCAAAGATTCGGATTGGACCACGACTTGGATGCATAGTACATAAGAAAACTGGAAAACAAAAACACAGACAGATGAGATTAGTTTCTATGTTGATTTTTCGGCCTTGTGAAGGAATAGCTGAGATCACACTGAACAATGACTTTCTGAAGGATGCGATATTAAGAGATATGTAAGATAGCGGTTCACAAGGGTTTTTCTTGGGGCAACGATGCGGAATACTTTACAGAATTTTACAAAAATGATAGGCTGGTTGGTGGTTTGGAACCTTTTTCTTTATCCATACATTTGGAAGAATCATCCCAACTGACTTTCATATTTTTCAGAGGGGTAGGTCAACCACCAACCAGAAAAATGATAGGTCAGGATTGATGACTTCAAAGGATTTCTTCTGTCCTTTGGGGTGATTCTCATCCGAAGATCTGATTTTCGTCCAGTTGGGTGCTACATGTTTTTTCGTCAATCCCATATGGTGAACATAGAAATTTACAGCATTGGTTTTCTTCACAAAGCCATTTTTAAAACTGGGTTCCACGATTTCTTCTCCAATTAATTCCAATTATATTGCGCAAGTTGTAGGAATAATGTGGGTAAAACAATGTCATAAACCTCCCATGACTGGGAATGATGGGAATGGTCCTCGCCTATGGTTATTTGGGGGATGGTTTATGATTGTTTTACCTACAGTAGTAACATACCTGGCCTATCCCGGGATGGTCCACATGTTCATGTCACTTAGTAACATTAGTTTCAATTAATTGTCATATATTTATGGTTTAATTGTCATATTTATTATATTTATTTATGGTTATTTGGGGGATTTTGTAACAGGAGTTAGTTAGTGCCAGATTTCACTGACCAGGAGACGGTTTGGCACTTTGTCTCGCGAGAGGATTTACCTCGAGGTGGTGCTCCATTTTTGTGCTTTGGGCACTGAGGGGAACAAGAATATATGTTGGTGTTTATACTTTAAGTATCTCAAACCATTACACTCTAATTTGTCTTTTTTTTAATGTTTGGTATTATTATGCTTTAAGTATCTTTAAGTTGGCATTTCATTCGAAGCCTTTTTCCAGTTTTCGTTCGTACACGAAAAATTGTGGGATAATAATTACTTGGACCCATACCACGTGGTTTCAGCTGAATCCTGCGAATCCACAGCCAAACATGATTGGCTCGGTGCCTACTTTTCAGCAATGGTTGACATGTTTTTGGTTTTGCTCTCTGGGTGGGGAAATAGGGTACTCCATGAGGAGGTACACTTAAATATGCCGAATTCTGGTGAACCAAAATGTTCTGAATAGGCTACTCCATGATAAATTGGGTATGCACAACTATTATCACAATTGTTGTTTCTTTTCAGAATTTCAGACTATATTTATATCGAATGAATTCTACAATGTTCACCATTCAAACGGCCGAAGATTCTCAGCTCTAAAAGGCTGATTCCCAGGGGCCTTGCATGAGCTCGTGTTAGGCTTCGATCGCTTGAAGATCCAACATCGGTCAGATGCCATTCGATTGGCACTGTTGGTCACTGGGTGCTCATTGGCCGTTGAGAGGTTGCATAAACGACAAATGTACGACACATAGATCATAGTTGGTAATACAGTCGATCAATGTAGATCATATGGTGGTAAGATTGATCATGGTACATCCTATTATGGTAGTTAATAGTACATCACTTTTTGTAGATCACAAGTAACTTGGGATACCCAAAATTGCTTTCCCCCCAGAGGTTTCAGGTGCAGGCTCAAAAAATTGGATACTGCAAATTGATGTTGGCATTTGTTGGCTTATGGCTTGGGGTTGCAATCAACATGTTCATTCATTTTTAAGGTCATTGTTTATGACCATGTCTATGACTATGACTATGTAGACCACCCCCTTTAAGGGAGTGACCAGTTTGTATGAGCAGTCCTGCTGGTTTCGGCACAAACAAAAAAAGCATGGGCAATACCCCAGGAAGCTGAATCTAAAACTGGAAACACGACTTGCAGGGTGTTCATTTCGATCTTCCATTCACTTCTACATGGAAGATCCACTTTGTTCAGATGTAAACATATGTGTATATATAAATATGTATATAAACATATCATATATATATATATAAACACATATATATATATAGATATGTATATACGCCGCATATCATATATATATATATATAGTGACTTCTTCAGCTTCCATGTGAAGTTTCCCAGAGAGATACTTTGGGCTTGGGCTCAACATTTTGAAGCTCACGCCCCTCCAAGGTGAAATATGGCGGTGTTTGGCTGGATGCCACGGTCGGCCCCTCCTGGGGCATGCTAGGACTCTGGAGAAGGATGGCGACAGATCTGCAGAGGGGTGATCATCTATAAATCAATTCAGGTCATACTATAGATCCAAAAAGTAGGTCAATAAAAATGGTCATGATATGCTAAGTATGTCATGATCACGGTACATCATAAGTAGCAACAGCATACGTGGCTTCCCCCGGTGTAGCTGGCCCGGTGAAGCCATCGACCGGGATGGTTTCGGCATGGTTTGGGATGTTTGGGCCACAAAAAAAACTCAACAGAGATATGGCACATGGCATCCGATGTCCATCATTGGGGTGTGGGCTTCAGTCAGTTGGCTTCTTGAGGATTTGAGATCTTTTTCTCTACTGTTCACAGTAGCACCAAAACAGGGAAAAACAACGATGGATTTCACCATGTTTTTAAACGGGCATATTATGGGGATAGTTATAGATGGGATTTTGATGGGACAGCAACAACTGGTTGGTGGTTTGAAAGTTGATGGTTTTAAATATGTGTTATTTTCCATCCTAAGTGGGATGATAGTCCCCAGTGACTTATTTACTTATATACCTGATACTATATATTTTATTATACATTGATACAGTATTCCTATTTTTCATGGGCATTGAAACTACCTGAGAAGTACTTGTTCGAATTCAGTCACATTTGATCTACTTAGAATGCCCTTTAGTAATTTGACATTGGGTTAATCACCCGTGTCAATCCGTAAATTATAATGTTGATCATCTATTTCTATGGGCCATGTTCATCAATTTTCCCATAGCTACGTTAAATACCCTTTGGTAAACTAACATAGCTATTGAACATGGCCATTTATAGTTGATTTTCCCATTAAACATGGTGATTTTCCATAGTTTTTTGTATGTTGACCAGGCCGGGTCACTAGACGCAACAAATCCCCAGGTCCTACTCCTTCGACCGCTGAGCATGATGATCCAGGACGGCTGACGCTCATGAATTGTCACATAAAATTTAGCAATTTCGAGGTTCGCCCATATTTGGACAAAGCAGCATATTATGGATTTATTTCGATAAGTTTGGGAGAATACAATCCATGTCATGGCACGTTTGGGATAAAATCATATAAAATATGGCTGGTCATATCTAATGAGGGGTTCTGTTCAATCATTTTTGGGCCCTAAAGAGTGGGCTTTGGGGATTCCCATTGGACATGTGTGTTTCAAGTCGAGCTGCGTATCCATGCATTGATGCTGAGATCCTTGACGACAGCTCAGTCACCCGTTGCCATGAGGATCTTGGACAGCTCCAGTGCACCACATCACCAAAATCCCCAGTGGGAGCTGTCCTTTCATATCACCTGTCTTTGGTATTGCAAATGAGACTTTCCCATTTTGTCAGGCAAATTATAGCAGTTCTCAAACCTGAAGCCCATCATGGTGGTTGCCCTTACTATCATGGTGAAGTCCTAGGTCGCCACAAGTTGCAAAGTTTCATACCAACTCCCAGGAGATGAACAAATAGAATGGCCTTTTGCATGTGTTTCACAGCGATTTGAAGCGCCATGGAGGTGTGTTTCCTGGCATCTGGCGAAACTCTGACCCGCCTTGATGCGAATGACTTCGAAGGAAGAACGGCCAAGGACGTGAAGCGAGCCTTGGAGGCCCAGGTTGGCGTGACCCGATTTCGGCAACGCCTCTTTCTGGACAATGGCGCCCGTGAGGTCGCGGATGATGAGACCTTTGATGCAGCTCCGGTGGGGCTCCAGCTGGTGGTCTTGGAATTTTGTGCACCTGATGAAGAGGAAGACAAAGAAATGATGTTCAAAGCCAGGGAGAACAATGTATTGGCGCTTGAGCAGTTGCTCCAGTCTCCACGAAATCCAAATGTCGAATATGGAAACGGCATTTTGGACAGATTGTAGCCATACATCTAGATTGTTATGTAATTAATAGATAATATAGGTGTTTAGATGTGTTTAGCCTTTTTGGTATTAGATGGGTTTACCGTTTGTCCCACTAAAAGCTGATTTTTTCCTTGGGGAGCAACAAGCCACCAAGGTATGACACTGCTGCACTGCGCGGCAGTACACGGGCATGTTGAGCCTGTACGCCTGCTACTGGAGGCAGGTGCAGAGAAAGATGCCACGACAAGGTCAGGCATGATGCCTTTGCACTTTGCAGCCCACTCGAATCACCTCGATGTCGTCCGGTGTTTAATCGAATCCGGCGCAAAGAAAGATGAGCTGACAAGAGCCACTGGATCGAGCCCACTGCACGTCGCTTCGGTGGAAGGCAACCTCCAAATCGTTCGATGTCTTGTGGAGTTCAAAGCCAAAATTGATCAGCCGACACTGAGTGATGGTTCCACACCATTATGTCTGGCCTCTGACCAGGGGCATCTGAAGATTGTCCGCTTTTTGCTCAGAGCTGGAGCAAACAAAGATGGGCTGAGGAGTGATGGCTCAAGCCCATTGCATTTGGCAAGTGAACAGAACCATTTAGAAGTTGTTCAATGCTTACTCCGAGCTGGGGCGAACAAAGATCAGCTCACAACGGATGAAGGATATACCGCGCTGCACTTGGCAGCTTTTCGCGGTCACATCGACATCGTCCGCCTACTCGTTGAGTCTCGTGCTAATTGCCTCCTAACTGGGCACGATGGAAGAACTGCTTTAAAAGTGGCATCGGACCGACGCCGCAGGAAAATTGTAGCTTTTCTCCGTTCTGTGCCGGAATTCCAAACAACCCCGGCCTCACGCAAAGCCCGAAGGGTCGGTAGCAAAGAGAACAAGTGAGAAAAGTTTGCGACTTCGATGCGGCCCTGGACCGGCTCTTGTCCAATCTCATGATGTATGAAAGAACCTTGCTACGATCATTTGCAACTACAACGTCAGAATGAGCGGTTGATTTGAGGCCAGCATAGAAGTGGAATACCGCAATTCAATGCAATTGAATGCAATTCAGCAATATTCAGCATATATTTCACATTATTTCACCATGTTTCATTAGACCGGGAGTCATGTTACACTTACGTCATCATTTTCATAGCTTACCAAGCTATAAATGCTCAATTTGTCAGTGACTGGGCAGCCAGTCCGACTGGTAATCCATAGGGATGGACCATTGAAAAAACCAACCAGTCATTCTTTTATAGGATGGATGACCATAATCCGTAGATTTCCATATATTACTATATATTCACATATATAATCATATACATATATACATTTATATATATATATATACATATATATATATATATTTATATATATATATATATATGTATATATATATATACATATATATATATATATACATATTTTTGGCATATATTTACCATATGATATACCAGCATAGACATACGAATATGAAATCTTTCTTCACCGGGGCCTTGTGGCCTTCATGGCGAGTAATTGAGCTCATGTATCGGCACAAGTGTCAATGTTCAATTCGAGGTCCCAAACCAGAAACGAACAATTTTTGACCAACAACTATTGGTATTTCTGGCTGGTTTGAGACATTTTCATAGATGTTCGATTTTCAAGCCTACTTGTACCTATAGGATGATCCTGTCAATTGACGAATATGTTCACTTGGGTTGATATCACCAACCAGATTTGCTTCAATGTGACACAATGTAGCCAGTTCCAATGATTTCATTGCCATAAACATGGTGCCATCACAACCTGACGTGTTTACAAATTCTCCAATCCAGGCATACCGTTTTTTTGTTTGTATGATATTTATTGATATTCAGCAATCGATATAACCTGGCTGGTTGGGAAATCACTTGTAAACAAAGCTGTTGATGGAAGATGTTGTATGTTTTTCTTGCGAAAAAAACAGAAACACAAATGCATTGCAAGTCTTGGTATTATAAGAGGATAACCCAACTTCTCATAGATGCCAGAGATTTGCGTCCCCGTTAGTCAGTGGTTTATACTTCACATATATATATATATGCACATACATCATATATACATAATGTAAATATACATAAGAATTTTTGTTTATTTTAATATATACTTCCATATCTGTATATCGTTCACATATATATATATATATATATACTGTATATTATTTATATACATCCCAGACTTCCCAACCTGCTGATTTTGCTACTGATCTCCCCAGCTACGCTGGCTCAGGAGGCTGATCCCAGCGTCAGGTTTTTCTATGTCGCTGGGACGCTGGGTACAGTTGTCCTTGCCGTGATGTCACTGTGGATGATATATGGCGAGTTTATGGTGAGTTTATGATGAGTTTATGGCGATTAATGGTGATTAACAATGGTTAATAATGGTTGATGATGGTTATTGATGGTTTATGATGGTGATTTCACTTACCCTCTGGTAATGACTAACAGTTCGCTATTGAAGCCATGGCCATGGCCCAGTCGAAATAGTGGATTTACCCAGCTAGAAAATGGTGATTTTCTATAGCTATAGTGACGGACAAGTACTTAGAACATCTCTGGAAAAAAACCGCACGGCTGGGATGTTCTAAGTGGGTACTTAAACATAGGTACTTAGAACATATCCAAAACCTATACTTAGAACATCCCAGGGGGAACCAATGGGAACCATATAGATGTTCGTTTGTCCAACTATACTTATACACGATATCAACTAAGACAGGAAGAATCTTCAGCGATGATCAGTCCTGTGTTCATAAAGCTTATTATTTTTGAAAGATATAATATATATATATACATAAACAAATGAGCTTGCATTTGGAAGACTCTGTAATACATATATTTATATATCCAGAATTCCAGCCAAAACTGAATCCAATCTCTTCCTGGGCATCCAGTTCCTTATCCACCTTATCTTGAGGGCTTGTGCATAGACTAGACTCCACTTGGCTGAGTTGTATTCTTGGTATTCAGGATGCCCACAGGTAGGTGGCAAAGACTGCACTTAGAACATCCCAAATTATGTTTTAAAAGATCTAGACGTGTGGTTCTGTTCCTTTTCTTGAGGTCTTGTGCATAGTCTCCATTAGGCTGAAAAACCTTTCATATTCTCAGTTTCCCGGATGCCCATAGATAGGTAACAGAGTCTACACTTAAAACATCCCTCATTATGTTTCACATGATCTAGACGCGAAATTCCGTTCCTTATCTTAAGGGCTTGTGGTTAGACTCCATTTGGCTGAAGCACCTTTCGTATTCTTCGTTTCCAGGATGCCCACAGGTAGGTGGTAGAGTCAACACATAGAACATGTCAATTATGTTTTAAGATATCTAGACGCGTGATTCATCGTGTTTCAGCCCCCTATCTTGAGGGCTTATGCAGTAACTTCATTTAATTAGTATTCGACCATGTTTGAGCCCCAAATCATCCAAAATTAAGCCATTTTATTTTTGAAACCTATGCTTGTTGACCAGACCTTTCCCTTTGCAGCAAAGACTGATTGGGATATTGTTGCCGAAGAAAAGGCAATGTTTTTCTGCAGCAGTGAGGGGAGAAAGTGTTCTAAGTATGGTGTTCACAAAGGTATTTGTGTGTATATATGCAGATTTACCAAAGTCACTGGAAATGTTCTAAGTATATATGGTCTGTTTATGTTCTAAGTATGCAAAATCAATGGAGATGTTCTAAGCATATGGTTTTTTCGATGTTCTAAGTGGGTACTTAGAACTTATTTGATGTTCTAAGTATATGGATTTTTAATGTTCTAAGTGCAGGTGCAGATATTTTGGACAAATATGATGTTCTAAGTAGTTGTCCCCTACTATATGTTAGTTTACCAGAGGGTAAATACACTATTTGTAGATATATTGTTGTTACTGATGACATTATATATATATTGATAAAATGTGTGCGTCTATGTACCGTAGATTATCATCTATACTTTATTTTAAGGGATCGTCTCAACCATGGTGAATGCATGTACAGTATGTGAATTGTAACTTGCCCGCAGACTATAGCATTTGTCGTCCTCTCAGGAAGGGTTGTTTTTTTCCAGGGCGCCCCAAAATGTCCCTAGATGTGGTAAATGAGTCACAGCCAAACATCTTATTTTCAGTTGGCAAATGACTACTGTTTAGCCAGATATCACATGTCATCCCATAGCAACATATGGTTGGTCGTATATCTCCATCATATCCCTTGATGGCTATCACCCCCATGATTTTTTCGGTGAAAATCCTATTTTGCTGAAGAAATCCACACCTTGTTGCCATCGGCCGTCCCCAAGAAATTTAAGCTCAACAAGTCCCCATTTATCCTCTGGTGATTTTAAACAGCTACGAAAAATTGTCCATTTATAGTTGAGTTACCTATTAAGATTGCGACTTGTGATAACTAGTTGATTTACTTGTGCTTAGTAGGGAATGTGAGAATGGGATCAGTGTTCGTAGTGATGGATTAGTATACTAATTAAGCACCATGTGCTAAATTGTTGTGGAGAATGATCAAATTTAAATATGTAAATAATCATTTTTATCATTTATAAACAGCAATTTCCATTAAACCCATTGTTGGTGACATATCCATTGTGGTTGATCAAATCCTTACAATATCTAACAATGTCGCACGTTGGGTGGATTCAAGTCACCATGTTTGTCACTTTAGTCCCCACACGTTTCGGGCGACTCGACATTGAAGTAGCGTGACAAGCACCATGTTTGCGATTGGTTTTGGTCAACAGCGACCTCGCGACGTGATACCAGAAATTATGGTGGGGAAATGCGTGATTTAGCCGGCCAATTTTGGCAACAAAAACTTACCTGGGGCCGGGGAGCAACCCCATGGGTTAGTTGGACATATTATAAATATTTTGGGTTGTATTTACAATAAATGAATCTTCATATTTTGGGTTGTACTTATAGTAAATATTACCATGGGGATATCATGGGGTTTACAACAAGATTCATTTATAATATTTACCACAAAATATCTTGTTGTAAACCCCATGATATCCCCATGTTCGTGGGTGAACCCTGGTAAACCTTACAGGAAATCCTTGGATTTCCAGGTCAACCGTGGACTCAAAGGTCTGCCAACTGTGGATACCCAAAAGCAGCTTGACCGAGTCGGGTCTGGCAATGCTACTGATGGGTTGGATCATGGGATAGCACGCATGATATAGCCGCCATTTCTTGCTATCTTAATATGGAATAATATGGGGATATTATTTTTTTGGATCTAGAATCCACATGATATAACATATATAACCAAATTTAGCAAATATCCACCAGCTGGCATTGGCAGTGCTCAGCTGGTCATGTTTTTTTTTGTCAAAAGTTCAAGTGAGTTGTGCCATGTTTGGAGACTTCTCTCAGGGGTACTCCAACCTATGGCTAAATGATAGCCTATGTAGATTATAAATTGCAATATATATACCCTCTGGTTATGTAACATAGCCATGGTGTAGATGGCCCATAGAAATAGATGGTTTACCTATTAAAAATGGTGATGTTCCGTGGCTATGTTAGTCATAACCAGATGGTATACACAATCTTCCATAGAGCTATGAAAGAATTGGAGGAAAAGGCATAGACCATCCCATAGCACTGTGTTTGAAGATTCGGAGACTTTGCCCTCTGTAATGGTAAAAACACAGCGGGGATAGCGTTACATAAACGATCAACATTTGGGTACCCGATTTCAGAGCAACACGCAGGTAGTGGTTAGGAACCCAGGTTGATCCGTGCAACATGCTAGATGAAGCGAGAAGAAGTGACATATGAGGAGTTGTTCATTATGTATATATATATATATACTATGATATACTATATTACACTATATTTCACCATACTATACCATATTATACTATATTCTACTATATTGTATTATATTATACTATATTATACTATTTTACTATATTATACTAAGTATACTATATTATACTATATCATATACTATATTATATACTATAGTATATACTATATTAGATACTATATTATATACTAAATTATATACTATATTATATACTATATTATATACTGTATTATACTATATTATTTACTATATTATACTATATTATGCTATATTCTACTATATTATATATATATACTACATTATGCTATATTATCACTTTTTATAGGGCACTATTTGTTAATTAGTTATATAATGTAGTTTTTCATTAGATATACTGGAGCATGGGCATCGGTGCACGGGGGCATTCATCGCCATGAGTTCGCCATGGGATCAAATCTGCCACCCCCTTCCGAACAATATATCGAACGGGATAAATGAGTAAATATATATATATATATATACATAGTCTCATAGTTTTATGTCGATATATATATATATATATATTTATTTATTTATGTGTGATAGTGATTGTATATGTATATATACACACATGTTTACCTACATCAACATATGGACATGCAATGAAATACACAAGCATTCCAAAACAGGGCGGGCAAGCGTCGCATCCAGTTGAGTTGATCAGGCTGTTCATCCCATCCCTGGGAAAGCTTTAAGACACACCACCAGTCTACGGATAAATAGGTCCATTGCTACATCACTAGTTCAGAGTCCAAATTTAGAGTTACATATATATATATATATTATAGATAGTATACATATATATATATATACCACATTTATATATAGATCGGCAAATGAACCGCGTATATACAGAGAGATATTTCCTTTGCCGCCTCGAAAATCCACCCTTTATACCAAATTTCTTTCCTGGGGAAACTTACTTTTCCAATTTTCCAACATTGTTCCGCCAATGCTCTGGAGGATACCAGGCAAATCAAACAAACCATCCACCAGCCAATGGGATAACCAGGGTGAAAAGCACTTGCGATCAGTGCGATGATCCTCCAATTTTACTGCTTCATTCCTGCATTTTGAATCTATGTGATAGTTACCACCCTATTTTAATTGTAAATAATTACCATTTGAGTGGTGAAAGTCACTTTATTTCACGGCTTAGCAAGACTCACGAGCATTTTGCCGGTAAAACCACACATCTCCTGTTTGAAAAACACCACATTTCACGGGTGAAATTGGTGAACCCCCCCCCGCGGCTTCACCCAAGGTACTCGGAACACCGCTACACCGCGGATTTCCACGTGGAGAACTGGTTCTTCGCGTCTCCGCCACAGGCGTAAAGGGGAAGCGCGATTTCGATCATGCTGTCATCCTGTTGAATCATACATATAATCCGTTCAGCATACTATAATCTATATGTATGTGCGTATATATATATATATAGAGATATAGATATACATATATACATATATGTACCAAATATGTACATATGATTTGCGATAGCAACCCTCAAATAGATAGACAAGTTGGAATCCTGGCAGATATGGGGTCAATATCATTGATTTCACATCCTGCAAAAAAACTGTCTATCGTTCTCGGGGCTACTATATACATATGTGCATGTGTATGTATGATATAGCTGCATATATCTTCAGAATTACCCGTTTGCATAGGTAAACGACATATGTGTACATAGTACATACAAATGTAGCATACATATGCATACATGCATTTTGCAGGTATGTAAGATATTAAAACTATTCATTGAAGTGGAAGGAATTTTATATTCGGAGCATCCTCTTTGGCATTTTGAAGGTAGTGAGAATGCTGCCGTATTATACATCTACATGTGCATATCATATGAATCTGCCTGAAAATGGTTTTCCCCCGAAAATCCGCTGGTTACTGCAATAATATGTTCCCCATTGAAATCGTTCTTTTGATAGTATATAGTATCCCCGTTTTCAGACAAACCCATATACGATTTATGATTTGTTGTGTTCCAGCTTGGTTCCCAGTGTTTCTTAAAACCCTGGTTCATCTATATAGTATTTTGGTATTATCCTTCTCAGACAGCCCGTATACATTTACATATATATCATACATATATATATATATACATAATCATCCTGGAATAGATAGAATTATAGATAATATTATCTAGCCATCTAACTACATCTATATGAAATAATATCTACCACAAACGGCGCCCCAGCAGGATCCGCTCACAACGCGCACCTTGAATTGTGTGAAGTCACTCGGCAGGAGAAAGTTTCCGCAGAGATTGATAAGTTTGCAGCGTGTTAAGATGTTGAGTTAAGCTGCACTCTGAACAATTGTGATTTAACCGATGTAACACTTATCTCTAGCAACTTCACTGGCCGACCTCAAAATTTGGAGAATGTGCACACACCATGAATCGTCCACCAAAATAATCTGTGTTCACGATTAATCAACGACAATGATCATTGATCATTGTATTTTTTCCATTTATAGATCATTATAAGTATACATATATTAGACTATGTATATTATTTTATTTTCCTACATCTTCAGATAGGGGAATTACGTATATACTTGATCATAATTCTTGATTTTGATCACTGGCACTCTATTGAGTGACCTTTATCAGCAGTATGATCACCATCGGTTTTCTTCATTCTCTTCTCGAGCTGACACAGTTGAGGGTCAAGTGGTTGTTTTCGAAGTAGCTGGAGGTCACAGTGTACATAGTGACCAGGAACTGGCAACATGAAAAACAAAAAGCAGCTTTGAAATGGGTCTGTGCAATTTCTGCAGGATAATTGCCTCAAGCAACATGGCAAGTTTAGTGAGGAATTAGGATCAACTACGAGATTTCCGCGTACATACACTATTTTCAGACAAACGTCATATGTATTGAGTACAGTCCTATGTGTTTGGGACTAACAGTGAACTTTCATCTTGGTATGAAGTCTGGGCAGGCTCATATGTTCTCTTCCTTGTACCTGGTTCTACCAGTTGCCTTCACTAGGGTCCTTTTTACAAGAGTCCAGGGTGCCAGATTTTTAAACAACTTTTTTTTTTGTGTTCTTGCTTGTTCTTGTTCTTCTAGTGGTTGTGGTTGTGGTTGTTGCTGTGGTTCTGGTGGTGGTTGTGGTTGCTGTTGTTGCCGTTGTTGCCGTTGTTGCCGTTGTTGCCGTTGTTGCCGTTGTTGCCGTTGTTGCCGTTGTTGTTGTTGTTGTTTAAAATTTAAAAATCCAGTCAACCCATTCAAAAGGTGACTAGACGCGCGTGTCTGACCATCTGGGATTTCTAATTTCTAGGAGAAACCAAAACAAACAAACACATATTGTTGGTGGTTCGAAATTAAAACATGCTTATTCTCAACCCTAGGATCATGATTATCTCAAGTGACCTATATTTTTTGAAGGGGGGAAAAGATCACCAAGTCGCCAGTCGAAATATGAACCAATTTCTGGGTGGTTCAAATCCAGTCAGATGGGGAAAAAAACGGTGATTGTTTGTATCAAGTTATATACCCTATTTCTGGAATTCACTAAGTCATCCAAGTTATAAACCTGCTTAGCTAACTTTTTTTTTAGTTGGTTCATTCATATTCTATCAAATCACCATTTGTTTACCTCCTTTGCGATCGACAAGCGACAACTGAGGCGTTTGCACGATGAAGGAGATACGAAACATCTCACGGACTACCCTGAGGTCTTTACGCCGAGGTGCCTGAAACTTGGTCCACAGGTGTAACACATATCATATGGATATAATATGGTATCACTATGTATCACTCATTATTTGCATATATGTATATATACATACGTATATGTGTAGTACTCTACGACGTATTTATATACGCATATATATATACATATATATATATATACAGGTACTATACACACTATACATATATATATATATGTGTTTTAACTATTAATTGTTGCCTGATGTCATACATGAGGATGTACTATACATTAGTGAATTAGAGTTATGGACATATGTAAAACTGAAAGACTGAAAGGTGGGCTGGAAATTGGTGGAATAGGGAATTGTAAACCGTTCTTTTACCGATCACTTGTTCACAATGGGCTTCCGAATGAGACTTTGCCGAATGGAATTATATCATTACTGTTCTTTTTACGAAGTTTCACTCAGGTGGGTTCGTCTGAAAAAAGTTACCCTCCAATCTCAATGGAGTACTACATGTTTCTCATTTGAAATGCTATATTGATAGTTATTGAGGTACAATATTTTTTTTGGACAAACCCAAGTATTATAGTATTGTTGTCTTGCTTTTTGATGCACGGGGTCACGGGGTCAAGGTCGCTTGTTCTCTTGGTAGATACTGAGCGTTCCATGCAGCTCAATTGAATGCTGCCCCAAGGAGTTGCCATGCGCACCCCTAGGTAGCCTAGGTAGTTTTTTTTGTCCATGACCATGACCTTTTTGGAGTGTGAACCCCTTGGTGAATCAGGATTTCTAACAAAATGGGTTTGTCATGTTGATCGAGGTGTGTTGCTCAAAACATGTATTGGACTTAGTTTATTCCTATATATATTCAATCCGTATACGGAATAATAATCCCAAACCACTGGAGACTTTAAATATAACATGACTGTACAGTACATTTCAATTTATGTACTTAGAACTGTTTTTCATGATTATACTCATTACTCATGTTTTGTATCACTATCATGATTATCAACACTATTACTATTGTTGCATGGTTTGTTATTATATGCATATTATATATATATGTACAATACTGAGAAGACTTCTAACACAACTACAAATCAACTAGTATCATTATATCAATTTGTGTTGTATTTATAGAATATCATTCATCAATATCTATAATAAAGCATAATATAACATATATCACCTATTTGCGCATTATATGATATCTATCAAATTTCCATACAATCTGAATATAATATCAGTTCTTGTTGTATCAGTCTGTATCAGTTTATTTTGTATCTATATATATATATATCATATTTACAGGGCTCCTATTTGATATAATTAAAATCATCAAAGCTCATAAATCCACAATAACATGTCTATAGTTACTGTAACTATACGCACAGTGCCCCCGTACCTTCCTAATATTCAATCACACCCCAAACGAAACTATGGGTTTAGGGGATTTCCACATAACGGGACCATGGAATGTGTTTTTTTTCAAAGCGAGCGACAGGCAGGTGGAGGACCTCCACGCTTTGGGCGAGTGGGCCTACATCGCCACGGACGCCTGCATCTTCAAGACCTTGGATGAGGAACCGGTGGATCCACCACGGCTTTGTTAAAGTGATGGATCCACCAATGGGAAATATTACTTATTACCCTCTGCTTATGACTAACATAGCCATGGTATAGATGGCCCATAGAAATAGATGGTTTACCTATCATAAATGGTGATTTTCCATGGCGAACTGTTAAATAACCAGATGGTAAAGCCTTGTACATCTTTGTACTGAGTTCTCTCCAGTGCCAAATTTGCTAGTGTGCATTTTAAGTTGTGACGGAGCCAAATTTACTACTCAGTGTGTGTGTTTCAAGTTGTGATGGAAAGGGTAGCAACTTTCAATGGGTACAGTCCGGAGTTCTCTTCAGCGCCACAGTTACAGCACCGAGAGGAAACTCTACAGCCGTAGAAGTGTTGCCCAACCCAGCTGACATGGCTCGCATCGTGGGTGAAGCGTTCCACGACGTCGTATACGTCTCAGAAGTTACGTGTCAACGGCCAGCAGCCAGCGCAGATGGCGACTTATTTTTGACCATCAGGATCTCACCATGCGCCTGCCTAGAGGTCCCTGCAGTCACAGACACAGCAGACATGGAGGATGCAACGGAAGACAAGTGATGGATCCCGGTGGAAAATGATAGCCACAAGGGGAATGCACCATTTTACCATGACTTCGCCAATTATACCGCCCCTTGAACCTGGGGTGTTGGGAGCAACCCAAAGTGACGTAGGAAACGTAGGAACGAATTCGCATTTGATAATGTTGTGCCATAGAAAATCACCATTTTAGAGCAAGGTGAATCATCATAAACCGTCGATTTCTATGGACTTTGCTTACGGAAAGTTTTTTTTTTTTCGGAAGAGTGGTTTTTGGGCCGGTGACTGTTAGGAACCTGAGCTAGTAACCAACCAACTTTCGTGGGATTTTATGGATGGCGATTGGTTGTCTAAAAAGGTCTCAGAGTTTCGTATTTTATTTATACGAAACATCGGAAAATCCGTATACTTAGTGATGATCAAGATGACTAGATAAGATTATATCAGTAGTACCGCACAAGGCGGTGGCGGAAGTTTCAAAAATAGGAAACCTATAGGAGAGATTGGTTGTTGTGAATCATGGATGGCAGAGCAAATCCACTGATGGACCGAAAGGTGGTTGGAGTTGTGTTTTTTGGAGTGGTTGCAATGGTTGCAGTGGTCACCTGATTGGTCACCTCGCCCAAAACTGCTGGATGTAGTGTGGTGTAGCGCAGCTGTAGTTGTAGTTGTAGTGTAGTGGAGTTGTAGTTGTGGTGTAGTGTAATTAGTGAAGTGTAGTTGCAGTTGCATAATATGGTGGTGTAATGAGTGCAGTGTAATGTAATGTAGGGTAGTGTAGCGTAAAGTAGCATGGTTGTAGCTGTAGCTGTAGTTAGTGTAGTGTAGTGTGGTGCGTGTGGTGTGGCGTTGTGTAGTATAATGTAATGTAGTTGTAGTTGTAGTTGTAGTGTAGTGTCGTGTAATTCAGTGTAGTGTAGTGAAGTGAAGTGGAGTGTAGTGTAGTGTAATGTAATTAGTGTTGTGTAAAGTAGCATAGTTGTAGTTGTAGCGGTAGTTGTAGTTAGTATAGTGTAGTGTAGCGTGGTGTAGTGTAGTGTAATGTTGTTGTAGTTGTAGCTGTAGTTGTAGTGTAGTGTAGTGTAATTCAGTTTAGTGTAGTGCAGTGAAGTGATATGAAGTGTAGTGTAGTGTAATGTAGTGTTGTTGTAGTTGTAGTTATAGTTGTAGTTCGTGTACTTGAGTGTAGTGTAGTGTAGTGGAGTGTAGTGTAGTGTAACTAGTGTAGTGTAGTGTAATGTAGTTGTAGTTGCAGTTATCGTTGTAGTTGTCTGTCTATCTGTCTATCTGTCTATCTGTCTATCTGTCTATCTGTCTATCTATCTATCTATCTATCTATCTATCTATCTATCTATCTATCTATCTATCTATCTATCTATCTATCTATCTATCTATCTATCTATCTATCTATCTATCTATCTATCTATCTATCTATCTATCTATCTATCTATCTATCTATCTATTATCTATCTATCTATCTATCTATCTATCTATCTATCTATCTATCTATCTAATCTATCTATCTATCTACCTGTTTATTTGCAAGCTTGAAAACGAAGCTATTCTGCGAGACTTCCTCACTTGTTGAACTTGACAACATCAAAGACGATGCAATTCTGCGAGACTTCCGCAATTTTTGAACTTGACAATATCAAAAACGAAACAATTCTGCGAGACTTCCTCTGATGCTCCAAAGTGCACCCTTCTCAGGAAATCAGCGCCCGGACCTCCTAACAGCTCTGATGAACATGTCTCTTGTACTGCGCCTGCCACGGAAAATTCATCTTTGCAGATCCTCTTCAAATGCCCCACGCCTGCCATCGTTTTTTGGAATTGCTACGAAACCCTCACGGTTTGCTCATTTGGGACAAGGTGCGCAATCCCTTGCGCCTGCCACGGAAAACGACATCTGAAATCAAAAGTGGCACGTGCATGCGGTGTTTTGTAGATTTTGACTTCGAAATGTGCTTCGCGCCACAACGGCGTGCACTTTTTCGACACCTCAACTTCCAAAAGTGGTCCAGACCTGGTGTATTTTGTGTGCATTTTGACTTCGAAATGTGCTTCGCGCCACAAGGGCGTAAACTTTTTCGACATCTCAACTTCAAAAAGTGCTCCGAACCTGCTTTGCTTTGTACATTTTGACTTCGAAATGTGCTTCGCGCCACAACAGCGTGCACTTTTCCGACATCGCAACTTCAAAAAATGCTCCAAACGTGAGGTGTTTTTATTTTTTTCACTTGCAAATGTGCTTAGCGCCACAACGGCGTGCAACTTTTCATCTCTCATCTGACCACATGGCTCCGCACGCCTTTAGCGAGCCTACTTTTCGACCCTCCGGAGCCACAAATCGGAAGTTTGACTTCTAAACTTCCTTCGGTAATGTTACATAATATATCATAATATATATAATGACAAAACGCCGTATATGTAACATGACCATAAAATGCCATCCACAAATGACTTTTTATATCTATATATGTGCGTCGGAAACCTATTGGGAATAGGTCTTTGGAGAAAAAACCTAAACGTGAATCCTGGGACCTATCTGGGGAAGGGTGCTGCAGCAGGGGTTCAAGATGTGTACAGCCAAGGTGCTGAAACATTGAGTTGAAAGCCTGAAAGGGCCTGATGTACCATTATAATTCAATTTCTTGAAAGTGCGATTGTCAACACAGCCGGCGCTGCTGAATCAATTTAGAAAAGACTGACAAAGTTTCCAAAACATAATGGCAAAAAAAATCAGACCTGACCACGGACAAATCGTGGACAAACCGTGGAACGATCTATCTAGAGCGTGGACAGGGGTACTAGGATTTTCGCCTGATTTTCATGTTCTTTCCCCCACAGCAAAATTTGGGATCCCCACCCCAAAAAATGGGCAACAATCTGGTCAGTAATATATTTAATAAATCCATGTATGGGATGATGGACATGTTTGCCTTGATTAATTCACATGCGGACGGGTTCACAGAAACTTAAGCATGGGCACGTGACAAGGGAAAAATGAAGTGCGTCAATAATCGTGAATATGAACCAGGGTTTTAATCTGGATGCTCTTGATGGCGCAAGAATTCAATCACATACAGTTTGAATTTTGAGCTATTAAATCATTGGTCCTTGTTCAGGTCTTTTGTCGTGCATTTAGGTCTTTAGGAGCGACCTATACCCGTTAGGACCTTTGACTCTTAGGGTATAATTGTCGATCTAAAGGTCACACAGGCCGCCAGGGTTCCAGCATGAGACCGCGCGAAAGATTTTCTGCGTTCGCGAAAGTATTTTTTTTTTCCGGGCGATTTTTTTTTGCGAAATATTTTAACATGAGACCGCCGCGAAGAATTTGAAGATAAAGGAACTTACATCAACTGCCACAAATCTATATGTATAATTATATATATATAATATATACACATATAATTACATTATACATATGCATACTATATATATATATACATACATATGTACAATGTACTTGCCTAGGCAAATGGTTATCCTACCTATTTTCGTGGTCAGTAACCTACGCTGGTAGCAGAATGCTGTGAACACATGAGTGATTTTTGCCTTTGAAAACTGCAGTTTGATGGTTCCTTTTTGATTTTTTTTGATGTTTCATGGTGGCAAGAAAAAGGCAGGGATTTTTTTCGCTTTTGTTTGTAAGATCTCTAAGGATGTGTTTTTGCTTATTACTGTACTTGTTTCGATTTGCGTGGCTCTTGCATCACTTTCCTGGGCGCCTAAGATATCTTGACGTATCATCACACAGATCCTGACGTCGTCGGGGCCAGTAACACTGGGGTCTCAACAAATTTGATCAGTCATAACATGCTGTAGGCACCAACGGTGAATCCCATCTAGTAAGCATGGTGATAGCTTACAACCGGTTTCTTCATCAATCCCATCCCCCTAATATTAAACATCCCCCAAATGGTTCCAAATATGTGATTTCATCCCCTACTAAACCATGCTTTCTCTTTGGGGTGTTTAATATTAAGGAGGATGGATTCATCAAACCTCTTCGCAGGATCGTGCTCTTACCGAGTGGTGGTTGAGCCCGAAGGTTCACAGACGAAACTTCTTGGGCGCCTTGACTTCGTGGCAAAGTTGGATAGCCTGCATCCCTGCGGAAACAAGGAGAAAATCCCATGCAAACTACGGGATTTGTCCATGGAACATCGTCCATTTGTAGGTGATGTTCCGATTCAATTGATTCAATCCTCCATTTAGCTCGATGATTTTCACATGAAAGGGATTTCCCAGCTAGCCATGTTTGATTACCGGAGGGTAGATTACAGAGAATAATTTTGATGTTCCCTGGCAATGCCACAGAGACACCCAAGGAAAGTGTTTTGCAAATCCAGCAGACATGGTCCTCAGCTATTGGAAGATTGTACAATGGAGGCTGTCTTGACATGGTCCAGGACACGGCCTCACTTGCCAATTACTATGTCTATATGTATACATATATATATATATATATGATGTTGAGGTCAATTGAAGCTGACCACCTGTGGTAGGCCTGGTCAAGTCTCCCTAGCGAAGCTGAGGACACTTGAACCCTCAATGGTGCGAGTCTGAGTGCACAGGGGTGACATCGCGGCCCTGAACTCTGGCCTTGTCTCAACAGCACACCTAAAATCCCATGAAATTGGCTTAAAAGTGGCATATGAATATGGATCCATTTGGCTGGTGTGAAAAAATGTTGAAAGGAGATGGAAAAAAACTGATCTCTCCTGTTTAATCAACAGTGATTCTCTGGCGGCCCAGGTTTGAAAATCAGCATCAAACCATGGTGGAACCTTGGTGTGAAGACTGGCATGCTTCAAGTCTGATACCCACCACAGTTGGTACACCAAAAAATGGAGCCATTCCATGTTCAAAGATTCTGAACATTACATGATTAATTACATAGTTGCTGGGCAGGAGAATCTAATTGCACTAATCGTGTATAAAAATTGAGAAGACATAGATACATGAATATCATGAATATCATGAATTAGAATTATGATGTTCTTCAAACAGATGAGCAAATTCTGTAGTTTTCTGTCTCATCGCTCAAGCTTGCAGATCCGGCAGTTTAAAGCTGTTTAAAGCTGGTATTGGAAGCTGGTGCATTGGCTTTTCAGTGTTTGATGTATCCAAATATCTCGTTGATCTATGTCTATCTGGCCTGACCATGGCCAGGTGTCCAAAATTGGCCCGGATAATTCACTTGAGAGATGAAGCGAGGGCTGTGATGGCTTGACTTCAGCAGAAAGGTTGGATATTTCCAAAGCCATGAAGTAGGATAGGAAGGGGAAATCGCTTCTGTTGGTACCTTTACTAGCCTTACATCATAATTTGCGCCAAAATTGGGTCCAACCCCAATCAAAATATGAGAGTGTATTAATGCGATATGATCTTCTGTCACCAGTGGCGCCATTCTTAAGAGGACTACGACAGGTTTGTTTCAACCCATCCGAAAGTAGTCAGGCTGCCGGAGGATGTATACAGAACATCTTGATTCAACCAACCAAATGCCCAAACGCAACGTACCAAATTTCAAGCGACTAAGACACACAAGAAAGCTGTCATGATGGTGATGAAACGCGTGGATTGCAACCCAGACTCCTCCATTTGGGTAAAGTAAAACCACCTCGCAACGCCCTCACCATACTGGTCAATAAGATGTCATCACCCCAAGGACATACCAAAAATCGACCAAATTCAGCTTTGAGTTTCAGCTTTCCCAGCCATGCAGATTTGTCTGAAAATAGGATACTTCTAAATCCACTGGTTAATCACCTTAAATTTGGGCTTTTTGTTGGGATATGCCGTTCAAATCCGTTCAGACACACCTGACCATGCTTTTCCAGGATATCAATGGCCATTTCAGATACCTAAATTAAAAGTACTGCACCTATACCATATATTTTTGGCATTTCTTTTGGCTTAAATTTCAGGGAATCTCCTCCAAAACCACGGCCAGTCAAAACATCAAAAACTGTATCCTACGGATCCTACGGCTTCACCATATTTCACCATGACATTCCGACTGAGGATATGTTTTACCGAATCAACCCTGAGATTGTGCAAGTCTTGACGGATGGAGAGTTGTTTTTGTTGAAATTCACCACCGAGATGCGAGGGGCGCAGCCTGGCTGAAGGATCTGAAGGGCTTTTCACTGTAAAAACCACCTAAGGCACCAGAAATGGTGGATTTCACTGGTAAAAATGAGGAGATACATACACCATTTTTAACCAGTTATGTTTCTGGAAATCACCATGTTTAATGGGTAAATCAATCCACTATAAAAAGGGTATATGGAACATAACCATTTTGATAGGTAAACTGGTTGGTGGTTTGGAACATGGCTTTTGTTTTTCCACATATTGGGAATAATAATCCCAACTGACTTTCAAGTCAACCACCAACCAGATTCAGAATTTGGGCGAATCTCAATCACCAAAAAACCACGTCAGGCTTGCAAGGGGGCATACTTAATTTTGACGAATGTAATATGTACAAGAATCTCTCGCACTCTCTCTCTCTATCTCTCTCTCTCTCTCTGTCTCTCTCTCTCTCTCTCTCTCTCCCTCCTCTCTATTAAAAATATACACTGTTTATGTATATTTATAATAGGTATATATATACAATTTAATACAATTTAATACAATGTAATACAATTTAATACAATTTAATACAATTCAATACAAATTGATACAATTTAATACAATTTAATGCAATGTATTACAATTTAATACATACATTGAATCAATACATACATTGAGTACATACATAGATTGAATACATACGTACATTCCATACATACATACATTTAATACATACATACATTTAATACATACATACATCTAATACATACATAAATTTGATACATACATACATTTAATACATACATGAATACATACATACATATTTACATACATACATGCATACATACATACATACATAGATACATACATACACACATACATACATACATACATACTTATTTACTTACTTACTTACTCACTTACTTTCATACTAACATAATCTTACATATTTACATACATACATACATAAATAAATACATACATACATACATAATCTTCAAAGTCTTACATACATACATATTAACATAATAATATATACATGAATACGTGCATACTTGCATAATCTAACATACATACATACTTACATAATCTTACATACATACATACATGCATACATACATACATACATACATACTTCCAAAGTCTTTCATACAGACATACATACGTAATCATACATACATCATCATACATACATAATCATACATACATAATCATACATTTATAATCATACATACATAATCATACATACATAATCATACATACATTAACATACATACATTAATATACTTACATTATCAAACATACATAAGCACACATATATCATACATCATACATACATACATACATACATACATACATACATACATACATACATACATACATACATCAATACATACATACATACATACATTAACAAAAATACATTAACAAAAATACATTAACATACATACATTATCATACATACATACATACATACATACATAGATACATACATACATACATACAGTATCATACATACAGTATCATACATACAGTATCATACATACAGTATCATACATACATTATCATACATACATTATCATACATACATACATTATCATACATACATACATACATACATACATACATACATACATACATACATACATACATACATACATACATACATACATACATGTTCATACATACGTCATCAAACATACATATCGTACATACATTATCATACATACATACCATACACACATTTTCATACATACATTATCATACATACATTATCATACATGCGTTATCATACATACATTATCCTACATACATTATCATACATGCATTATCATACATACATTATCATACTTACATTTTCTTACATACATTATCATAGTTACATTATCATACATACATCATACATACATACATTACCATACATACATTATCATACATACATACATACATACATACATGCATACATGCATACAAACATTATCATACATACAAACATTATCATACATACAAACATTATCATACATACAAACATTATCATACATACAAACATTATCATACATACATGCATACAAACATACATACATACATACATACGTTTAATAATCATACATACATAATCATACATACATACATACATACATACATACATACATACATACATAATCATTCATACATAATCATACATACATAATCATACAATCATACATACATACATACATACATACATACATACACACATACATACATACATACATACATTAACAAAAATACATTAACTTAAACATACTTACATTAACATACATACATTAACATACATACATTATCATACATACATTATCATACATACATACATACATAAATACAAACATTATCAAACATACGAACATTATTATACTTACATACATACATACATACATGCATACAGACATACAGACATACAGGCATAAAGACATACAGACATACAGACATACATACATACATCATACATACATACATGCATGCATACATACATACAGACATACATACATACATACATCATACATACATACATGCATGCATACATACATACATACATACGTACATACATGCATGCGTGCATACATAGATACATAGATACATAGATACCTAGATACATAGATACATAGATACATAGATACATGGATACATACGTACGTACGTACATACATACATACATTATCATACATTATCATACAAACATTGCGATACAAACAATATCATACAAACATTTTCATACATACATACACACACTACATTACATTACAGTAAATTACATTACATTAAATTACATTACATTGCTTTCATAACAAAACATAACAAAACATAACATAGCATAACATACATACATACATACATGCATACATACATATTTACTTACTTACTTACTTTCTTACTCACTTACTTACCTACTTACTTACTTACATTACTTACATTACTTACATTACTTTCATTGCTTACATTACTTACTTACATACATACATACATCCATGCATACATACATACAGACAGACAAACATACAGACAGACAGACATACAGACATACATACATACGTCATACATCATACATACATACATGCATGCATGCATACATACATACAGACAGACAGTCTTACATACAGACATACATACATGCATACATACAGACAGACAGGCAGACAGGCCGGACAGGACAGCAGACAGAAAGACAGGACAGACAGACAGACAGACAGAACAGACGACAGAACAGACAGAAAGACAGAAAGACAGACGGACCGCTAGACAGACAGACAGACAACATGCCATACAACATACATACATACATACATACATACAGTAACATACAGACATACATACATTATACAGACATACATACATTATCATAAACATACATACATACATACATACAGATACATACATACATACATACATACATACATACATACATACATACATACATACATGTTCATACATACGTGATCGATACATATCATCTCCCCATACATTATCATACATATACATACATACATGCATACATACATACATACATAGATAGATTACTATATATAAATATATAAACTTGATGGCTGCCGTCAGGTTGATCGATCCCATCTCCCCTCTGGAAATGTATGGCTGCGTTGAGAGCTCTTGGAGCATCGTTCTGTTGGCAACCTGGCGTCGAGGGGTTGATTTGGAGCTTTAAGCCATGGGAGTATCCCAAAATTATAAAATGCATGTTTTTTTTTCATGGCAAATCTAAAAGATGGATGATTTGGGAGTGTTTCCCCATTTTAGGAAACCTCCATTTTGACGCAGAATGGGGTGAGCCAGCAAGAGAAAATCTAACACAAACATGTACGAACGTCGAGGTTTCACACTTGCATATGTTTCCCACCAACATGTGGATTTGACCATTCTAAATCCCGGTTCAAACAGCCAAAAGGGATATTTAATCCATAAAAGTGAAGGAGGTTCACCAAGCAGCATGGAGATGTGGCCAGTTTCAACAGGCTTAGTTCGCTCCTGGCGCCTGGATCCAATCCGGGCCATGGAGAGGTTGAGTTCGCTGGGAAAATCATGGATATTCCATGGGATTGCCTGGATCACAAACACTGACCAGTTACTGGTCCCATCACTGTTGAAGTAAACCCGCACTTTATGTTTTGTTATTGGTACATCCAATCACTACAAGTTTCACTTAGCTACTGGGTCTGCCACTTGTAAGTTGGTGGCACCAGCCTCTAGCCACCTCTCAGTCGCAGAGATGACTGAGCATTTGGATAGATTGTCAACCAAAATTATCAGATGGCTGAGTGATTGCTGACCTTTTGCTGGGATTAGCCTGGGATACCATGATGATTCACCGTCGTGGTTATATTTTGGGGTTCCCTATTGACAAAGCCAGATATTACCCTCTGGTTATGTCAAAATAGCTATTGAAAATGGCTATTTATAGTGGATTTACCCAGCTAGATTTTCCGGTTCGTTATGTTAGTTTACCAGATATTATGAGAGATTTTAATATTGCAAGTCTAAAACAATTGTAAATTACCCTCTGGTAATTTAACGTAGCTATTGAACATGGCCATTTATAGTGGATTTTCCCATTAAAAATGGTGATTTTCCATAGCTATGTTAGTTTACCAGAGGGTACGTTTCATGTAATTACCAAATTTGTCTGTTTGTCTAGCATTATTGTAATTACCACGTAATTAAATGTGATTCCCATATGCCATATTTTTTGGCATGAGATTGTTACTAGTCTTGAAACATATGATATTACATTATATACATACCTATATATATATACACGTAATAATACCTATACATACCTATAATTACCTATACTTACCGCATAGTGCATATGGCTATGGCTCAAAACCCTGGTACCCTGGCAAACGCTAAAGCAGGTGGTAGATGAATGTTTATCCCCCAAGAAATGGTACATGTCGGGTGAGACATGGGCGACGTTGGATGAAGCCGTTTGTTTTCAGCTTTGGTACAGGCCCCTCATGAAACATCTTGACCACTGTGTGTAATATGCGTATATGGAAATGATAAAGTGTGTAAACGCATGTGTATATATATATATATGTATATATATATGTATGTATATATATATATATGTGTATATATATATATATGTGTATGTATATATATATATATACGTGAGTGATCGTGAATGTAACTGTGAAACCACCAGTCATGCATGGATTTTTTATTGGTGACCAGTGGCTGCTTGTTTCAGGATCTTCAACTATATGACCATATATGACTATATGACACTATATTTTATTTCCACCCCAGACAGAGACATATCAACGATTGTTTGTCATTGTATAATGCCTTTCCGATTTTTTTAGGAGGTTGACAACACCAACCAGATTTGTACGACCTTGAATTTCTATGAATTTCTACCCATGATTGTTTCAAAATCTGAGTAAGCTATGACAAAACCTTGGTCAATGGATGATTGAACAAACCAGAAGATTTCCGCGGAATCTGTGTTTTCCTGTCAGAATTTGACCATTTGACCATGGAAGGTTTTCCCGTTTTCCATTTTGCAGTGGATTCCGCTGACCAAGCCACGGTTATACAATCATCATTATTGTCATGTCTACAGCCCCAAACATGGAACCCACATAGTTGTGGCTATATCCTTAAATGCGAAAAATCATCAAACCCTGACCGACCACACAAGATTGCGGTTCCATGTTAAATTCCCGGAGTGTGCCAGCATAAATCACCCTAAATAATAAGCCAGGGGTCCACCATTTCAATCCATTTCTATGGTCTGATCAAAACTGGCATCAAAATCATCATCTCAGGCTGTACCCTCTATACAAAAAACTATGGAAAATCACCATTTATAGTGGATTTTCCCATGAAAAATGGTGATTTTCCATAGTTTTTTGTATGTTTACCAGAGGGTAGATCCATGGCCTGATCTAACGATCTAACGACCAGGCCATTGGCCTCTCAAACATCACCAAGTGCGACGAACTTCGCAAGCCTGGCGCCAACGAGTGGCTTCCGGTGCCGGGTCCGCGCCACTGAGGCGCTTGGGGCTTGGTGGTTTTCGTCGTGGACAGTGGACGGTGTTTTTGGGGGAATGAACTTCTGTTGATTGGTGATGATATCATAGTAGTCTGATATACTTCATTAACTATGATATATGAAAATAATGGTAATTATATGATATAACACTGGAAATGATGATAATGATAATCATAACGAATAATAATGATTCTGATGACGATGATTTTCCCAAGAATTATAGAATTTCAAGTTGCCTCGTTTTAAGGTTAAAAAAAAATAGTGCACCAAGAAGTAGTATTGCCCTGTTGGAATGCTTTTTGTCAACTGACGGCAGAGGGGTGTTGGGCACAACCACTTGTGAAGCCTTTATTTCCATACGAGGGTTGTTTTGGTACATTTTGAGCACCTTCCACCTGCAGTTCATCCTTTCGTTGCCAATTTCTGGTTCATTTCCTTTTCTGTTTGTAATCAGAACATGCATGCGCTTAGCTAAACATAGTTAAACCATGTGAAATCAGTTTGGGGACACAGGCGTCCCAATGACTTGGTCAAGTTGGTCAAACATTGACCAACTTCGTCAAGTTGGTCAAAACTTGGTCAATTTGGTGACAAATTGATCAACTTAGTCATTTTTGACCAACCCAACCGACCTTTGACCAATTTGACCAAGTTGGTCAATTTTTTGACCAACTTGACCAACTTTTGACCAACTTGACCAACCTTTGACCAACTTGACCAAGTTGGTCAATTTTTCACCAACTTGACCAACTTTTGACCAAGTTTGTCATTTTTGACCAACTTGACCAACTTTTGACCAAGTTTGTCATTTTTGACCAACTTGACCAACTTGACCAAGTTGGTCATTTTTGGCCAACTTAACAAACTTTTGACCAAGCTGGTCATTTTTGACCAACTTGACCAACTTTTGACCAACTTTTGGCCAAGTTGGTCATTTTTGACCAACTTGACCAACTTTTGGCCAAGTTGACCAAGTTGGTCATTTTTGACCAACTTGACCAACTTTTGACCAAGTTTGTCATTTTTGACCAACTTGACCAACTTGACCAAGTTGGTCATTTTTGGCCAACTTGACAAACTTTTGACCAAACTGGTCATTTTTGACCAACTTGACCAACTTTTGGCCAACTTGATCAAGTTGGTCATTTTTGACCAACTTGGCCAAAAATTGGCCAAGTTGGCGATTTTTGACAAAATTGGTCAATTTTTGGCCAAGTTGGTGATTTTTGACCAACTTTGTCAACTTTTGACAAAGTTGGTCATTTTTGACCAATTTGACCAGCTTGACCAACTTTTGACCAAGTTGGTCATTTTTGACCAACTTGACCAAGTTGGTGATTTTTGACCAACTTTTGACCAACTTGACCAACTTTTGACAAATTTGGCCAATTTGGTCATTTTTCACCAACTTGACCAACTTTTGACCAAGTTTGTCATTTTTGACCAACTTGACCAACTTGACCAACTTTTGACCAACTTTTGACCAACTTTACCAACTTTACCAACTTTTGACCAACTTTTGACCAACCTGACCAACTTGACCAACCTGACCAACTTAAGGGCACAAGAAGTGTTTGCAGCCAAATTTAGACCATTCAGAAGTAGTTTTGCTGGTAAAATTTTCAAAACTTACCACGAAAAACACTTCTGAATGGTCTAAATTTGGCTGCAAACACTTCTTGTGCCCTTAAGTTGGTCAAGTTGGTCAAGTTGGTCAGGTTGGTCAAAAGTTGGTCAGGTTGGTCAAAAGTTGGTCAAAAGTTGGTAAAGTTGGTCAAAAGTTGGTAAAGTTGGTCAAAAGTTGGTAAAGTTGGTAAAGTTGGTCAAAAGTTGGTCAAGTTGGTCAAAAGTTGGTCAAGTTGGTCAAAAGTTGGTAAAGTTGGTAAAGTTGGTCAAAAGTTGGTCAAGTTGGTCAAAAGTTGGTAAAGTTGGTCAAAAGTTGGTAAAGTTGGTAAAAGTTGGTCAAAAATTGGTCAAAATGGTCAAAAAATGACCAACTTGGTCAAAAGTTGGTCAATCTGGTGAAATTGGTCAAGAATCACCAACTTGGTCAAAAATTGAACAAGTTGGTCAAAAATCACCAACTTGGCCAAAAGTTGGTCAAGTTGGTCAAAAAACACCAACTTGGCCAACCGTTGGTCAAGTTGGTCAAGTTGGTCAAAAATCACCAACTTGAACAGAAATTGACAAAATTTGTAAAAAATGACGAACTTGGCCAAAAATTGGTCAAGTTGGTCAAAAATGACCAAATTGGTCAAAAGTTGGTCAAGTTCGTGAAAAATCACCAACTTGGTCAAAAGTTTGCCAAGTTGGTCAAAAGTTGGTCAAGTTGGTCAAAAGTTGGTCAAGTTGGTCAAAATTTGGTCAAGTTGGTAAAAAATGACCAACTTGGTCAAGTTGGTCAAAAATGACCAATTTGATCAAGTTGGTCAAAAGTTGGTCAAGTTGATCAAAAATGACCAACTTGGTCAAAAGTCGTCAAGTTGCTCAAAATTTGACCAACTTGGTCAAATTGTTCATTAATTGGTCAAGTTCGTCACAAAATTGACCAACTTGGTCAAGTTGGTCAAAGGTTGGTCAAGTTGGTCAAAAGTTGGTCAAGTTGGTCAAAAATGACCAACTTGGTGAAGTAGAGTTGGTCAAGTTGGTCAGAAATTGACCAACTTGGTCATGCTAGTGAACAACTGGTCAAGTTGCTCAAAAGTTGGTCAGGTTGGTCAAAAGTTGGTTAAGTTCGGCAAAAATGTGAACCTTAACTGATCTTCACATGTGTGAAATCAAGCTGGACAATGTGACCAATCAAATCGTGGTTGAGATGAAAGCGGACCGCGGGTGACCCCTGCAAACACCCCCATTTTTGCAGTGCTCCTCTGCACAAGAAATATGTAAATGTTCATAGTCCCCAAGTTATGATGCCTAAAAATAGTGCAATCCAAAGTTTTTTATGTTTCAGGAATTAGCACCACAAGAAGTAGTTGAGACACTTTTCAAAGCGTTTTTTCATGTACCACCCAGCCGATTTTCAAAAGGTAGGCCCAAACACTTGTGGCCTCCTTAAAACATAGCCACTCGAAAGTCTACACCAAGAATTACGCATAATTATAGTCATATACCATAGACTCCCATAGGCTACTTCGAGGCTAGCTGCGGCTAGCTGGGATCCTGATCCTGGTTTTCTGAAGGGGACCATTCCTGGAAAAACAAACCAAGGGCTGTGCACAGCGCTGCTGTGTAGTTTTGGAGTGAACTATTCACCAAGTTAATGATATCACAGTGGTATTTTGATCTATTTTGGTGATTGCAATACCATGGAGATACTGATAAATCCATTTTGTTAGAGGGATTGAAACGTCAGTCGAGATCATACAGACATATACAGACACTATCTCTAAACAAACAATTTCATTTTAATACTTTATTACTATTATTATCATTATTATTATTATGGTTTGAATTATTGTTGATATTATTATTGTTTATATTATTATTACTATTATATAATTGTATTATTATTGTTACTATAATAGTATTAAACTATTATTATTATTATTGTTATTTCTTATGTTATTATTATTATTACTATTATTATGCATTCTGCATATCTGTATGTATATATATATATAACATATGTCAATATCACATAACCCATCATGTACATCATGTAAACACATCAAGTAATTTATGTTAATTATAACTGTAATAATCCACGAACTGGGTTTCTCCATTTCTCATTCCACGAGTCCGTTTTGCCATGGCGGATCCCATCTTGAATCACTAGTTTTCACTGAATCATTTTCAGACAAATCCATAGCTGCATGTTTAAACATGTGTGTAGTGCGCAATATATATATATATATATATACACTCTGCAATACTCCGAAGCATACTGAACCTTAGTATTGTATCCTTTGTCATGCATTCAATATTTGGCAAAAGGGACTGCATTTGAATCAATGTTATCTGTGAATTCGTCATTTTATACATATGCTATGCTGATCAAACATTTGACATGCTACAAATTTGTATGACACGATGGACATGATTGAATCTCTCCAGGATGGGTGCTCCGAGTTAGAAACTGGTTTATAAACCCATCCAACTGCATACCGAGTTACCCTTGTTCCAACCCAATTCATATCCCTGGGGCAACTACTCGATTTCTTCTCGAAAGTGCGTGCCACCGTGCCTGCACCCCGTGCAGGGTCATCACAGTGACCACCCGAACACAGGGAATTCCAGTTTTCCAAGACATCAAAGATGCTTTGATGCGCTTACGGAAGAGGTCCATGATATCCAGTGATATCCAGTGATTGGTTAGAAGTGCGGACTCGAAGTTCTGAGAGATTCTCATGCTGTTGATGTTCGGAAGTATCCAAGTATCATTCGATGTAATTAATTATGGTCAGAAAGAAACTCACATCCATGGATGGTCAGCTCCGAAACTCCCATGCTTTGATTATCTTCAATGTGATAGAATGGGCGAATATAACATCATCAATTGAGAATTTTGAGGTAGTAAGTATAGCTTCCAGGTAAGCTCATTTTTGATCATCGCAGTGCCATGGATGCCATGGATCTCTAAGCTATGCCGCGAACAAAACCCTCCCGGCGAACGTCGGGATAGACGGTGAAGCCATTAACTTTTGCAACGGCGCAAGTTGGGACTTGGAGCATCATCCCACGCGAATATGTGGTTACCCTCTGGTAAACTAACATAGCTATTGAACATGACCATTTATAGTGGATTTTCCCATTAAAAATGGTGATTTTCCATAGCTATGTTAAATTACCAGAGGGTAATAACCCTGGTGAAAGTAAGTCATTCGTGGCTCCCATTTTTAAATGGAATATCATCCCAGTTACGAATGGGACTTACTACGTGGGGTGATCCTCCAAAAGAGGTCTGTTTTTTGTTCAGGTTTTTTCTTCCCAAGGTTATGTCATTTTTAGTGGAAGTTTTAATCCATTTTCACCATGGCCAAAGTTTGATGCATGGCTACTTAGTGGTAAGCTCTTTTGAATTCTTATGATACACATGGTAAGTCCTCTTGACATTTCAGACAGACTTAGTTTGCTGTAAGTTATAAACCTTTAAACATCTTTAAACCGTAAAGAACCCCATGGCCACAATCTTTGGGCTTGTCCAAAAGGTGCCGGTACCCCAAAGCTTTATGATTCTTTACAGCCCTGAACTTCCCAGCAAATCATCGATGTTAAATGTTGAGACCGAGCCGGCGAGCCCCGACGTGGAAAGGCGTACATGATGGCGAGCAAATGATGGTAAATTTAATGGTATTTTATGGTATTTTACTGGGATTTAATGGGATTTTATGGTACTTTAATGGGATGTAGAATAACTATCCCAAAGTGACCAAACATTTTAGCTGGTGAAATACATTGGAAAGAGCTTTGGCAACCGTTGGGTTCATCATAGGACGACTGTTCCAGATAGGCGCCATGTTCGGATCAGGATCTGACGCACAGATTTCAGCTGCTCCCATTTGGTGAGCTGCCCCTATGTTTTGCTCGGCCCAGAAAATGCAGACATTGGTTGAACTGTTCAGGACCCGTTCCGCGGTTCCCCACTGCCCATTTGGTCAAGTGATGTCAAGTGTTTCGCTGCGTTGAGGGAAATCTACACGGAACCTTGCCAATTTGGGTTTAGAAGCCAATCAATAGGACTTTGCTGCAGAACTTCCTCACCAAGCTGATCCTTAAATCCAGATAGGTATGACATGGTATGACTATTTTGGGATTGTTTGGGACAATGAGTCCTACTGACTTAGTATACCCGTGTTCTTCGCGGGCTTTGCAAACACCCTTCCATATCATGGACATTTGATTGAACATTCTGAACTTGGCGCATTCTCTCGTTGTAAATGGTGTTAGTGTCCCGCCAAGATTGTTGATTGAGTTTGGGTCAAATGACATGTTTTGGGATGTTTTTGGGGTGTTCAGCCCTGAATGTTCCAGGAAACCCTCTACCCACGCCGCGGTGGGTGGGAAGGTCGAACAAGCATCAACAGTATGAGATAAGAAAGATGAGAAAAACATAGAAAAACTGTTGGTAATTGATGATGGCAAAGTTTTGGAGGTCTTGCAGTTTTTTCTCTCCTCCAGAATTTCAGCAGGGTTGTCCAGATATCTCAGGCACCCTCACATTTCCCATGTGTTGTTTTGGTGCTTACATATTGTGAAGATATAATGATGCCCACCAACCAAAATGCCACCCTTGGAGGGTTTGCCCGCAACAGCAACGGGCGACCCAAATTTGCTATCTTGATTTAAATGGGAAAGATATGGAAAGATCACTTTATAGACCATTGAATTTGGAGCTAACTTGTTTTCAGACCCCTTATCAGGCAGGACTCATCTGTGCTTCACCGCTATGACCAGTGTTTCATGCCAGGTGGATAAGCTTCAAATGACCGACTGCTTCCGCAATGGGGACTTTGTTCGTGCTCAGGCCCATTGCGAGTATGCTGAGATTGATCATTTTGCAGGAGGAGTCATTCATATATATATATATATAGATTATAGATATGGGATAATATATATATATATATGTATCATATAAATGTATAATATATATATATATATATTGGGGACGGTATGTAAGTTGATGGTGCTTAGCAATGCCCTCAGATGTTCACTTAGTTTAGATGGGTTTACTTCTGCCTTGATTGGGGCACACATCCCACTGGAAATCGAAACGCCATGGCATGGCCCAGTCTTCTTGGTTGATCCGAGTTTATTGATGTATCAATCCACTTTTATACCCATTATATAAACATAAATAAACATAAATCATGTCAAATTCCCAAGTTTGATGCTTGTTCAAGACCTAATTACCTGCATCTGGTAATATCTGGTATCCCCAAGTCTGTTGGTGAATATGCCCATTTCTATTGCTGCAATTTCTCTTCGAATCCCATGTTTGATGGTTGGTCATATCTTGATTGCCCTACTGTATGCGTTTGCCCAACGTTACCGTTCTTGGATGGATTTATGGGACAAACTGCAGCAAACCATGTTTTTGTTTTCATCAGAAGGTCGATCGTAAAGTCTCCCTTCATCATCCTTCATCCCCAATGCGAATGGAACTTCCGTAAAATTCGATTGATTTCTCCAATTGGTTTTCCATTCGAATGTGATATCTCCATGGAATTTAGGCATTTAACACCCAATTTAACCATCAAATCCCTGTCGCAAAGTTCCTCGGTTGCAAGGTCCTTGCACTGGGCGATCATCGCTCATATGCCGCCCCGGCGAGTCGGAGTTGTCTGGTGATAGCAACCTCCAAAATGATAACAAGGATTCACAAGGTAAAATCCTGCTAAAAAAAGTCAAATTACTTTTCTAGTTGTTTAGGGGTTAACCATGCCCCAAAATCTGATGCTGAATATGGTGAACCATGATTTTCTCAGTTGTTTGAGGGCAATTTAGACTTTCGAGCATTTTGAGTATGTTTGTTTTTTCAACTTTGGAGTGTTGTTGGTTTGGTTGATACACGGACTGGACTTTTATGATTTACAAGTTAATTAACTATTTACTGTATATCCCAAAAAGACGGCTTATTTTTCTCTTGCTTCCAATCTCAAGCAACACTGCCGTTTTGAGACAATGATAATTTTTGGAAGTTCGATGAACTCTTCCCTCAGGACCCTGACTCGCAAGCCTCTGCACAAGAATGGAACACTTATTCATCCGCTAAAACGAGCTCACATTATACAGGATAAAAAGGCAGTTTGGTTCAACCCAAGAATGCCCAAGAACATAGCCAACTCTCAGTGGATAAAAAATTACCTTCCAGAAGATGGACTGTAATGGCTGTAACCCACATAAAAAATCCTTGAGATAATTTATATGTCATTGACAGTCATAGATATACAACATATTAGTTTGTGTGGTCTCTGTAAAGCAGCAGCTGATTTCCTGCTCCCTGCTCCGTCAGGTCTTAACTACTGCTGTGGGAGATCACTTGGGAGTGCCAAAGCTGGCGATTTTGGACCGTGGACCGCGGTGGGGTTTATTGTGAAGCTGTTTGGGTCTTAAATGTTAATAACGTGGCAATAGGTTCGAAAGGTGAGGAAAGAGGCTACTTTTTTAAACTCAAAGTATCTTCTGAACACAATTGGTCAGATCACGACTATATATACAGATCAAATATCCAATCAATAGTCTAAGAGCAATAATCCCATTCCCCTAATATAAAAAAAAACACAAGAAACCATGGTTTAATACATGGATGGAATGATGTCCATGATTTTTTGGGGTTAATCTTGATTCGAGAGGCTAACAAGGTGGGGCCCCATAGTTAGCGAAGTTGGTCTTGAGGTAGGTTTAGTTACTATGGTTTATGACACTTGTAGATCTATTTATAGTTGATGAGGGGTTCTCAATTTGAAATTATAACTGGGGGCCCTGCATTGTAGATATTCTCCCGTTTATGAATCAGAAAACGTAGGGTACTGGTCAAGTGCTTGTGAAGCACAAAACTGGATGGTTAGATCCGGCAGTATCTGGATGACCAATGGAATGCTTCCTGGAATTTGAAAGGAAGATGTGCAGGAACAATTCTATTTGATGGTAAAATCAATGGTGTCTAGAAACAGTTTCTGAAAATCATTGAACAGGTTGCAAATCCGTCAACGCCTATACTGCCTATACTACTTATCTTGTTTGATCTTGTTTGTGGGTCAAAAGACTATGGAACCCATTGGGACCATTTGATTTGGGAGATGAACATCCATAATCCACTGTGTTTTGGTGCGAAAAAAACGCTACTGGCTACTGGTGTTGCCAGCATTTTCATCCATCTTTACGGAAATCGATGCCCCATCTGAAGTACCTTGGGATCTGGAACCCGTGAACGCACCCAGCAAGGCTCATTTCTGAATGGGGGTGGATCCCTATTTCACCTGTTGGGGATGAACATCCATAAATCCCAAGTATTTTGATGTTCACCAGGGTAAGGTTTGACCGTTTGACCGTTTGACCCATCAATCATGATGAAAGTATATCGGGTGATTCAAGCAGAATTGCGTAAAGTTACAGTACCTCCAATGAATCATACAACATATTCTGTTCCCCAGTTCATATTCAACACCCCCGAGTGGGAAGCATATAGTTTAGTGGTGAAATCACGCAATGGAGGTGATGGGATTTTCCATTCATATACATCATTATTCATTCTTATCCATCAATATCCATCAATATCCATATCAATATTATACTTGTTGGTGGTTTCAAACATGTTTTTATTTTCCATTATATATGGGACAATCCTTCCCATTGACTAATATGTTTCAACATGGTTATTGCACCACCAACCAGTATAAGCCATCAATATCCATCAATTGATACCTTCTCAATATCCATCAATATCCAGCCTGTGGCACAGATTTTTCTGCGTTCTCGCGGAAACGAAACCGAAACACCGCCGCAGCCTTAAGGTGATTTTGGCGCGCTCGGCTGCCGGCGCGCCACTGGCACCCATCAGTTGGCCCCGGGGCTGCAGCGGAGGGTGGGCCCATGGAAAATGGACAACAAAAATAGGGGATGTATCATGGTTCATATATATATATATATATATAGTTGATTTATCTTTGCCAAGTCGGTTAAGTAGGTTATAAGTTATAACCTCTGTCAAACTAACATAACTATGAACAATCACATTTTTTAATGGGAAAACTCACTATAAATGGGCAATTTTCAATAGCTATGTTTACCAGAGGGTATATGTAGGGTTTATAGTTCGAACTGATGAAAGTTATTTTTACCAACTCAGTCACTGGGGGTTTATCCAGAACGAGAAGTGGCTGCGAAAGTGACCGATTTATGGTTCCATTGTGGACAGATTAAGCAAGCAGTAAAAAGAATGGCGGTTTTGAACTCTGCTCAAGTGAGGCATTAATGGCATTAACATGAAATATCCATCAACATTAAGGTCAGCGTTGGGTACAACATGTGTACAACATAGTACAACTTAATCTGTTGTGAATTCGATTGAGATTCTACCAGGAAAAAGAAATGCTGGGCATCTAAGTTGTGGTATCTATATACAAGAATCGTGCGATATGAAGGTGGATCTTATATAATGTGAATATTACAATATTTTGATTGCGTCTATATTGATTATATGCATACGCATATATATATATATTATACATTGTTAATGTGTATACATGTAACACTATATATATATATATAGAGATAGTCTAATATAATACTAGACTATATAGAACATTATATATAGGTAACCCTATATATTACACTACACAAATATATAATTGTATATAGCACTATATATATAACACTATATATGTAACACACACACACACATATATATATATATACATAACCCTAAATATATGCATTCATATATAGATATACACGATTAAAGTTTAAACAATAGTGTGTATTATAATAATATATATGTATATATATATATAAATACACACACGTAACAAATTGCAGCCAACAATATGTCACATGGTTAATGTGGGAGCCACAATACCGTGAACCATCCCCACAAATTTTCCGACGGGTAAACTGTGGAGACCACATCACCATAGTGTATATGGACACTCTAGTTCCCATAAAGATTGGTAAAAAAGTACGTGTTTCAGCTTAAGCAAGCTTCGTAAGTTACCATGTTGAGCCAGACCATGTGCCTTACGACCACTTGGCGAACTGGAAGCTTTGCGAACTTGAAGCCATCGCCCATTTAGTTCGATGATTTATATACCCTTTATATAAATTATATACCAGAGGCTAATTAATAGGCCTTTATAATTATATATAATATGATATACATATGCCATTTATAGGACATACATTAATATACACGTGTATACTAATATACATACCAACGTATCCGAGCGCAACGCATGACCAAACCAACATCCTCACCTCACATGCCATGTTTATCGTTTATCTTGATGGATCCAGGGGATCCCAAGGGACATTTCCCCTACCAGAAATGGTGAACAATTTTGGACTTTCCTACAGAAATGGTTCTGTTTCATTACTTCCCTCTTCCTATTACAAAACCTCCAATAAAATAGTAAAAACTACCCCAGGTTGTTTGTTTTGGAAATTCAGATTGATCAATATGATTTTTACTTGATCCCCTTTAGAACAAGATTTCGAAAATCAAGATCCAATTTGAATTCTGAAGGTTCGACCCTTTGATAATGAACACTAGTTTAATTAAGATAATTAAGGTTTTTAATTCAATAATATAGGGGAAAGCTTGGAAATATATTTTGTTGTAGTATTTTTATGATTTTTCATTAGATTTCAAGAAGGAATTTGATCGATTTTGTTTAAACTAATGTTTTTGATTTAATATTAGGGGAAAGCGTCGATATCCAATGTTTGGCAATGATTTGATTAGATTTTAGAAAGGAATTGATCGATTTTGTTTTTTTTGATTTAGGTTTTGGATTTAATATTAGGGGCAAATCCGGGCGAAGGCCGAGAGCAAGGCCATTCCAATCATATTCGAATAGGTCGACAGGGTTTTAGGCAACGTATATCCACGTATCATAAGATAAAATGTTGGGGTTGCATTGGAACAGCCAAATTTCACTCTAGTTTGCCGCATGAAGCCATACAAATAGGATAATGCGATAAGCCATCTACCAGCCTACCAGCTGGTGCACGATTTCTTCCATCCACAGCATGGTGGGTTTTCCCAATGACAATCCCATGTAACCACCATAGAATCATCACAAATCTGCTGAAAATGTTGTTTTCCATTTCATCCCTTAAAATGCTCCACAGAAGGTATGACTGGATCCAGCAAATAATAGGCATGGTCCACATGGTGAACGATCAGTCTGATCAGCATCCAAGGCAGTTCATGAAGTGCCCCATCACGGGGAAAAAGGAGTCCAGTATGATTATGTGGGTGTCTGAAAATGGAGGTACCCCAATAAATCCCCAATAGATAGCTGGATGTTTTACGATTTACAATGGAAGTCCCAAAAAATAGAACGATGTGTGTGCACCCCGATTTTACGAAACCCCCATTTGGGTGTGCATGCAAATATTGAAAATGCAGAAAAATGATTCAACCATGGTGGTTTAAATCGATTTATATAATATAATATGATTGAATGGGGGTATAATGGATACATTATGCCCGCTCGGGTATGGGGATAACCCGAAAATGATCATGTTTTTGGTAAAGCTGACCGTGAATTAATCAAATCATTTTTTTTTTGTGGTATTTGGCTGATAGAGGGTTGATCAAAATATATGTTCAGAAAATTGGGTTGTGACCAAACCAAACTTTTGAGAACCTGGTTTTTTTCGGGACCAACTTGATCACGTAAATCAGTTGCAGGGACAAAACATGGCCGACACTGGCCAATGATGGGCAGTTCTGGGAGAATACCGCAGAAATTTGAGAGTCTTTTTGATGGGCGTAAATGATGGGCACAAAGTGGGTAAATTATATGGGTATGGGTCAATACCTAGAGATACATTTTTAGTGGGATGAACATCCATTTACCAGCTATTTTGGGGTTCACTAGGTACCAGGGTTTTGACCCATCCCCATATAGAATTGTGTTTCTATATTCAGCCCATTTCAAATCCCTTGTGCTTGGGTTGTTGGGAGTAACTCTGTAAAGAGGTCTTGATATTGGCATGAAGTATCCAAGGATGATGGCTCTTCAAGGCTGGTTGGTGATATTTGTTCCCTGGAAAAACCATTGGCAGGCAATGGGGTGCATGTGTTTTGCAGTGCCTCTCCATCGAGAGTAGTTGAATTCTCCCAGAGATCTTGCATTTGTTGAGATCCCTCATCAGAATCTATCATTAGACGGGGTACTTCAGCAATGGCCAAACTGATGTTTGTGTTAGCCACGCCTTCGGGATACATCAGCGATGGTGAAATCACGATTTTGGTCAGCTATCCCATGGCTATGTATTTGATTACCCCGTTTTTGTGCCATTGCTGTTGCTGAATGCCCCCATTCAAATTCATCATTTGCGTCTCTTGGAATTCTCCCATTCTCCTCTTCGTCATCGCCAGTGCTACTCTTAATATGCCCATTCTGAGTAGATGACGTGACAATTAGTCCTCAAATTCGGATTTGGAAAATGAATACTAAACAGAAAAAGGCAACACATCTTGACAGTCCTTTTTTGTCCTTTTTTTGGGTTCCCTGGATCTAACAGGTCACCCAAAATCCTTGTAGTTGCTTGCCATCCATGGACAAAAAAACCGTTTAACCAGCAAAGGATGACTTGTTTATGGACTAGCAAAGATTGACCTGTTTCAGACACTTTCATTTTTAAGCAGGACCTACTGTCCGTTGTCCAACACGGCCAGCAGGAGAAGAGGAAGGTGGCCAAGCCCATGTAAGTGCAGGCCTTCTGACTCTTCGTCTCACATTGTCGTAGAAAAAGGGCACCCCAAAAAGAGAATGCGCCAGTCACCAGGGTTTTTTGGTCGGTAGGTTGCTGAGTGAGTTTTGGTGAATGATAAACGGTTTCATTGTTAGTCACAGAAAAAACAACACCTATTTATCGAAGACTCTATTTTGAAATATAGAAATCTAAGATTATCAGTAGATATGACAAATGCATACTCATGTATTATCACTGATGGCTCAATGGGAGTCGTGTGTTGAAGCCTTGAGGCGGCGAGTGAATGAAAGCGTCCAATTACTCCGTTGAGAAGACATGTTGGCATGTGTCAAAGTCACCCATGTTTTTTCGGAGAGAGAGAGAGAGAGGGAGGTTTATAAGTTAGTGGCAGCTATCCCCAATAATTATAGCCTATAGGTATTGATATTCACCATCTTTAATAGGTAAATGATCCTGTTAATGGGCAATTTTCCGTAGCCATGTTAAATTGCTCCGCCGCAGCTTTTTGTTCTTTTAGCACAAGGCAGCACTCGGAATGGGCCAAGATGCCCGAAGGGGCCGTCTCCAAGCCACGCAACTGGCGTAGAGACCTTATCCCAGAATTGATTTCAAGGAAAGTTTTTCAGAGCAGCCCCATGTTTCATGTGAAACAAACACTAGCTTCCTCTAGATTTTTCGCTTCATTGATCAATATCAATCCATTGACTTAGCATATCGTAGGCTCCAATTTGATCCGCCAACCAACCGCAAGACGCTAACCTGGCATCAGCACTACACAGGTTATGCAACATGTGACTCAGTCAACTGCCATAGTCATACAGGATTGGCATCCCACTTACCCATAACTTACCCATGCACCCAACACCAGCAATAAAAACTGTAGTGTTTAAGATATGTTCAAGCACATGGTACCACAGATACTTCTTTACAGTATATGTTACCAGTAGATGGTGGGGCACAGCCGCCATGGCACAGGCCTGGGAGGGAGCCTGGCGGGCAGGGCAGGGCAGGGCAAGGCAGGGCAGGGCAGGGCAGGGCACAGCATAGCCAGGGGTTGATTGCGCAGACGCTGAAGAAGCTGTCGGAAGAGGAGCTGATTGCGTTTCCGCAACCTGCGTTTTCATGTTCTGTTGTGTTTGTGTTCTTAGATTAATACCGATTAATACATCACTTAACATAAATGAACAGTAATTAACATCGCTTTGAGTTTTTTTTTGAAATTACTTTTGAGGTGTGGTTCATTTAGTTGGTTCTCACTTTTTCTGAATGATGCTAGCTAACATGTTTCGTTCGGAAGCTCCATGGCTGCCGATCCTGAAGAGTACGTGTAGTAACTTAACACAGGATGAGTGACAAATTAGGATGATATAGATATCATATATCAATTGAATGGTGGTTTCAAATGTGTGATACGGTGATACATTTGCAGCCCAGATCATCATCCTGAGTATGACTTACACAATTTCAGGAAAAACTGCACATATTCTTGTTGGTCAAATAGTTGACACAGTGGCTTGGTTTGTGATTCTTTTTGGCCATAAATGGGCATTAAGTAATACTACCCAGCTATTTTTTGGCATGGCGACTCGCTGGGTCTTTCTCCTGCGATTCGAACAGCGCAGGACGATCATCGCCATGTTCAAGCAGCAGAGCCAAGACCCAAGACCCGACGAGAAATTGGACCAGAAATGCCTGATTTTCACCCATTCTTACATGAGAATAATGTTGAACATAGCTTGCAAAAAGGGATGGAACATTGGTGATCTGACATATGGGGATATGGTAGGCTTTACTGTAACCATCTGTAACCCGTCCCCATCTCAGTCAATTCGGCCTCGAAAGGGGAAACACACACTCAGAAAACACATACTTAGAACCTCGCTTGACTGGGGGAGTTTCATCAATACACCAGCCGGAAATCTTAAGCGAAAGTCACCATAAAACATCCATGTATGGATGAGTTTTCCATTATCCATGAGACATGACATGCGTGTTTTTTGTTGCCAACCAGCCTTCTTTGATTACCAGAGGATTTCGCACGATCTTGATGTTTTATCCCTTCTTCGTGCGTAAGTCCACCAGAGTTGATGTGAATCCCATGATATTCCCGTTAAGTCACATGTTTTCATGGCTGAATAACCATTTGTGCTTGGCAAGTTGCAGCAACTGCAAGCCCCGGCCCTTAGCCTTGCTAGGTGGGACCCCCGTTCAGTGGAGCTGAATACGGCCTTGAAAACGAGGATGTTGGCAGACTAACGGGTGGTTTATACTAAACAATGACGTTTTATGGGAATGTCATTGATATACATAATATATATATATATAATATACATAATGTATACATATTGGATTTATATTTATGATATATATATATATTATATTGTTAGGGGATAAGCCCTTCATATTGGGTCTCCAAAATTGATACATCCAATCCATTTCCACCAGGGCTCTGCCGATGGCGTGACAGTTCCAAACCTCATTTCCAAACTAGGTTTTAATGATCCTCCAAGCAGGTTGTACTTGGGCATTGGATAGTAAGTGGGACAGCCTGCTTTATTTTCCATTGGTCACAGCTGCGCACTGTAGAAATCAAAGCTGACCTTGGACTTTGCATTGATACAGTGGACCAAGATTGTCTATTGCCATTATGTCGACCCTGAGAAGCAAAATCATGTCCGTTTCTGATGGTGTTTTAATAAAGATATGGCAATGCCAATAACAGAATGAGGTTGGAAGATTGAACAACTTCTCAGATTGACAATTTGCACTTGGATGTGCGTTCCAGTTGGACCAGTGATTCATTTTCTCTCTTCTTTTCACTCAGTTGTCAAGGGAATGTTTACGCCCAGTTCCATGGCTCAAAATGATCTACCAACGGGTCTAACACCATCTTGGTGGCGTTGCGAGATGTTGCGAGCATATCCCCCCACCCAAAGCGGTATTAAAAAAAAAGTTATCTGCCGCACATACTTGGGTGTAATGACTATATGTAAAATACCCCGACATATCATGTGTATCTATGTATTTATGTGTGTATATATATATATATGATATAATATATATATATATATGCATATATGATGTATCGCATATCCCAAATTACAATATGGTTGTCTGAAAATAGGCCAGCCCCAAATCCATTGGTTAATCACCACATGGTTTCACATTGAGGATTTCCCCCCATTTGGTACCACACTCAAATTGGAAACAGCTCCTTACATAGCACATTTTCATACATTTCCCCATGATGTTTGGTTAAACCCCCATCGTTTGTCGACTAACTCCTATATATCATATTCCTGTCAACCACTATGCCTGCGAGGTGGGGCCTCTTTTGTTTTAAGTTTATAAACCGCATTCACCATAGTTATATCTACCATAAATTCAAAAATGAACAGCTAGTGAATTGAAACATAAGTCAAACTATTACACTATAAACCACCATTGTTCTAGCTTAAATCACCATTTTAGCCGGTCAAATCACCATTTTTAGGTGGTTAAATCACCAATTTTAGCTGTTGAAATCACCATTTCTCCTTGGGACCCACCGGGTCCCACCGGTCCTTCAGGGATCCCCCCAGGATTCCTGACTCAGTGGAGCAGCGCTGTCGTCAAGCGAGAATACGAGGGAATTGCGGTACCTCGGCGCAGGGCGGGAGTCCACATCACTGGTGACCGAAAAAGTGGTTTCGATGATGACATCTAGCCTTGCTTGAGATGTGTGATACACATGTGTATATATATATATTATTCACTATTATATATTAATATAATATGTATACACGTATGTATATATATATATATTATTATGCGTATATATATATATATATACATATATATATACATATATATAAGTATATATTAATATAGGTATACAGTATATATATATATATGTTTATATCCAATAGTTTGTTTGATTGTTAAAAGCTTCTAGCCCTACGGTTTTAGTGTGATTTAGAGATTTATGTAAATATACATAATATGAATACATGAGACTACATGTAGAATCTTCTGCGGGGCGGTGGTTAAACCGGTTTTGTTTGTTCAGTGTTTGCCGGTGGTTTCCGTCCTTGACGTTTTTGGCCTTGGGAGAAACAAACTATCAACATTTGGGAGATCACCGGGTAACATTTTTTTTTGGACCCGGTCATGGTTCTTTTGGCGAATTGCATCAGATCCAATAAAGATCTATAAAGATCCCAATGATCAGTAGCACTTGTCCGTTTCTTCCCACGGGTAAGAAACCCTGCCTTGCCTTAGGTCTCTTTGCGCAAACTCATCACGTCCGCATCCTCGGCGTGTTGGGAGATGTTGGGAATGCCAATTTTGTGGAGCAATAAACTCTTGAAGAATCATCATGGTTCCCATCTGTTTACCGTTTATCAGGTTAAACAGCACTTTCTGGTAGCGAAACAGGGATGAATCTTCGAGGAAGTCGCAGGAACATGCAGGAACCATATATGACTGCGATCATTTGTCATTCGCTCAAATCATTCAGGCCCTAAATTGGATGGCCGAGTGCAAATTTTGTTCAAGTGTTTGGATCTGTACTCGTACCTCGTTTGTCCCCCATTTTGTGGGACCTTGGAACAGCATTGACATGTCTTGCTAAAGATTCCCAGAGGGTGCCAAGCAGATCCAAGATTTAACGGTCTGTTTGTTTGCTTACAGTAAGTGATACTTGAATCAGAGGATGGTTTTTAAGAGCCGAGTTTGTTTGCTTATCGAGAACTGCCTATCATATGTGGCTTACTGTAGCGATCTTTTTTTGAGTCGACACATTGTATCACAATCGTTTGCAAAGTTATGGTCTAGGATTGCCATTCCACTCTGCAATTTCAGAATTCCATCAGTTGGTGAATCATTCCCCAATGCTCTATGTATGGATTGTTTACCAATATGTTTCCCCAACATGGCCCAAATGTAGGTAATTAAATATTTCAGCAGCATGAAGCATAGGGGACATTCGTTCTGAAACTCTGACTCTGGTCCAATATGAATCCAGGATTTGTAGACCCCTATCTGAGGTACCAATTTACATGTTCACGTCTTCGTTGGCAAAATCCCTCGTGAATCTGTCAAATCTGTCCATGATTTCCCATAGATATCCTCAATAGATCCCAACAAGAATCCCGATCCAATTTCCAATCAATCCGTACTTCATTTAATCCAGGATTATGGTGGATATCCATTATACATATATATATATATATTATCCATTGTTTGTATCCACATTTTTTTACACAATAAACCCTGAACCCCATGATTGTATCATATTTCCTCCCGCAAAAGATCCCGATGAATCACAGTTAGGTCATTTATTCCAATCATATCCAATTAATTATTATAAACCGTGAAATACAATATTAAATCCACCATCGTTGTTGATTAAACCCTAATGTTTGGATATAGATTTGAATCCGAATCTATATGTTCATCCAATTGTGTCAAATTCTTTGAGGCTTATCTTGAAAAAAATAGTCATCTATCAATGCATATTTTCCAGTTCGCTATGTCAGCTTACCAGAGGGTACCCTCTGGTAAACTAACATAGCTATGGAAAATGGCCCATTTATAGATGGTTTACCTGTTAAAAATCCTGATTTTCTATAGCTATGTTAAATTACCAGAGGGTAACATCTTATTAATCACCATTAACGCCATTATTCTCCATTTCCCCAGAGGCCTGGGCTAGTGCAGATGAGCTGCTACACATCTGGGATTACCACAAGGAGAATCCAAAGGTGCCAGTCCGACGTGGGCAACGTTGCTACATCTGAAAAAGAGTGGAACGATCCATAAAATGAGAAATGAAGCTTGGGGAACAATCCATAAAAGAACAAATGAAACTTGGGGAAGAATCCATCAAAAATGACATGAACTTGGGGGAAGAATCGATAAAATGACATGAAAGTGGAGGAAGAATCGATAAAATGACATGAACTTGGGGGAAGAATCGATAAAATGACATGAAAGTGGGGGAAGAATCGATAAAATGACATGAACTTGGGGGAAGAATCGATAAAATGACATGAAAGTGGGGGAAGAATCGATAAAATGACATGAACGTGGGGGAAGAATCGATAAAATGACATGAAAGTGGGGGAAGAATCGATAAAATGACATGAACTTGGGGGAAGAATCGATAAAATGACATGAAAGTGGGGGAAGAATCGATAAAATGACATGAACTTGGGGGAAGAATCGATAAAATGACATGAAAGTGGGGGAAGAATCGATAAAATGACATGAACTTGGGGGAAGAATCGATAAAATGACATGAAAGTGGGGGAAGAATCGATAAAATGACATGAACTTGGAGGAAGAATCGATAAAATGACATGAAAGTGGGGGAAGAATCGATAAAATGACATGAACTTGGGGGAAGAATCGATAAAATGACATGAAAGTGGGGGAAGAATCGATAAAATGACATGAACTTGGGGGAAGAATCGATAAAATGACATGAAAGTGGGGGAAGAATCGATAAAATGACATGAACTTGGGGGAAGAATCGATAAAATGACATGAAAGTGGGGGAAGCCAATAAACGTTTCACATTTTTGGGGCCTTACCTTGTGGGTAAACAGACCCCACGTTGAGCTTCGATGCTCCTCCGGTGGACTCCACTGTCATAGAAAGTATAGATGTCAATCCTAAGATTTCTCTAAGATTGAATGTAATTGATTAACCTACCACTCAGGATACCTAAAGATGTGAATCCGAAGCTTAGGCTATTTCACATAGACCAAGTCTAAGTAACTTGCCTGTGGTGTTTGTGGCTTTATTTCAGTGATCTAGAAGATTACCATCCGGTACTCAAACATGGCTGGAAATCCTCTATAAATCAAGGTTTTCATGGGAAAATCAAATGGTGGATTTTCCATTGCTACCCTCCGTAAACCAACATAGCTATGGGAATTTGCCCATTTATAGATGATTTACAAAACAAAGATCATTTCCAGTTCGCCATGTAAACGTTTACCAGAGGCTATACGTTACCGGATGGTTTCTCTGGGATACCCTCTGGTAATTTAACATAACTATGGAAAATCACCATTTTTAACAGGTAAACCATCTATAAATGGCTGATTAACTATGGAAAATCACCATTTTTAATGGGAAAACTCACTATTTCTATGGCCATGTTCAATAGCTATTTTGACATAACCAGAGGGTAAATATAGCTAAACCATCATAAATCAATATACATCATCTAGTTCTATGGTTCATTATCCATAGCTATCCATAAAACAACCATAGCTATGTTAGTCATTACCGGAGGGTAACTGCAGGACATCGCCGCGCCACCACCGAGGTTTTGGTGCTGCCGGCCGATTCGGCCATCGTCTCGGTGGCGCTCTGTCCCCCACGTCTTGGGGTCTTCGATCAGCAGGCGCGGAGCTGGAGGACAGAAAGGAATCAGGATGGGGATTGGCAAATTGGGGATTCGAGTTTTTATGATCCCTTAAATGACTTATATGTACTTATATATACTTATATATATATATATGCTTATATCATATCATGATTAAGTTAACTGATGAATCATTAATTGATATAACATTGATTAATTGATATAAAATTGATTAATTGATATCATTTTTAAGTGATATCCATTCACTCCTTAAGTTATGATTGAGTTTTCTTATCATTCATGATCCATGATAAATCATGGTCACTCCAAGTTAATGATTGAGTTTTCTTATCATTCATGATCCATTTATATCATTTATCATGGTTTCAATGGGGAATTTTCACTTCAATGGGATGATCCAGAGATTTTTTTTGGTGACAAAAATATAGATCCCAACAGGTGGGCGTCTGGAAGTCGACACGGATAGCCCGAAGGTATTTGATGACGAAATTCATCCATTTTCCCATGATTTTCCCATGATTTTCCCATGATTTTCCCCATTCAAACGTGGAAAATCACGTGGAAGATCCCTGTTTTGGAAGAAAACCCATGTGTTGAAACGCGCTGCTCGCTGCACTACCTTCAGGTGCAGTGGCTTCTGGTGATTTGCACACGGCTCACAGTTCCGAGACCAGGTAGTGAGTCACGATCCAAAGAGGGTGTATAGGATGTATAGGGGGTTTCTTAAAATGGGGGATCCCCAAGTCACCATGGGTTTCAATACTGAAAATGGTCTAAGTTGGATGACTTGGGGGGTACCCCCACGACTTGGGAAACCAGTGGCCTTAGGAGTGCCCTGTATTCAGAAAAAACCCAGATCACCGGATGTCTGGGGTGGGTAGCTATGGTAGCATTTTTAGGGGGATGATCATCCGTAATTACGAGCAATTTTGATGTGAACAGGGTTTTTGACGCAGTTTTGACGCACATGCAAGAATCAAGAGACATTTACTCTACACAACCAGCATGAATGTGCAGAAATGGAGCATATTCTACGTCAATCAACCATGGCTTTCATAGAATTTCAAAGATGATTTTCCCGTTGAAAAATCCACTGATAGGGGATTCCCGGTTTCCCAATTGCCTAAAACATATTTTTTCATGGGGAACTCCTTCAAAAGCACTGGATTTTTAAGCTGCATTCACAGGGACAAAGCCTAGGAACTGTCGCTGGTACCAAACCTTGATGCTAACATGACCTTAGGAATTACATAATCTATGGATGGATATGGATGGTAAAAATGGAGACAATAGTAGAAATATATAATAACATATAAAAACTATACATCTAAGATTCATTTCCATCCATGTGAATCCATTGAAAAAGATGTCTTTTCTTTGCCTTGCTGTACATAGACATAGAACGTCTCCAGGAATTTACACATGATGTTTATTTCAGATCTCTAATTTCATGTACAGCCAAGTAGATCACAAAATATAACAAAGAGATTGTCACAGAATCATCTAAACCAAGGTCAGTCTGGTTGGACTTCACTATGAGCCCTCCACTGGACTCGCAAGGCGGCTTCCAACAATACCGCAAACCGTTGGAGAATCTCCTATTTAGTAGGATTGTTTTCCCATTGAAACCGCCATTTGTGGTGGATTTTCAAGTGCAATGTTTTATTTATAGTTAAGATATGTTAAGATTTTATTTTGCAATTTACAGTAACAGTAAACCTCCATATTTAAAAGCCTACTGGGACCCGGGGCTCCATCTGTTCCTCCAGAGGACCCGATCTTTCGGTCGATAGTTGCTATTTTTTTCGTCGCTGTGAATGGCCTGGTAGAGTTTGATGGAAGAAATTGAAGGGAAACCCCGAGATTTAAGGGTTAACACTTAAAGCTGTGAAAACTATATACCTTTCTTAAACTTAGCTATATGGACAATGGCTCATAGATGATTTACCTAGGTTTACTCATGGTGATTTTCCATAGGTGTGTTACTTTTTCTGGTATTTTATGATGTTCGCCACTGATCCATGATGAAACCATTTTCTGATTCAATGGATAGATACTGGTTGGTGGTTTGGAACATGATTTTTTTTTCCATCTATTGGGAATGTCATCATCCCAACTGACGAAGTCCATCATTTTTCAGAGGGTTTTTTTGCTCAACCACCAACCAGAAAAGTGACAAACATTAACCAACATTAACCAACAATTACCAACACTTAACCAACACTTAACCACCAACCAGGAGAGTTTTCCTTTTCTGGGGGTTTCCCCAAGAAATTCATCGACCGCCGCAGGCCTACCGATCGATCCCTCAACTCCCAAAAGCCCGAGACGACCTTGGTGACCACAGCAGGCCAGATCCGGACGGGGACCAGGTGGGCCACGTCTCGCAACAATGGGCATATCACCAAGAACATATGGGCAATCTCGAAAAAACATGGAAATATATGGATATTTATCCGGGAATATTATTAATATTATTCGAAATATCCCTGAACTTCCAAAGTATTAAGTGAAACTTGCACGTTCATAGAAAGCGCATGCTTTGCTGAAAGTACCCTTTTCACTTGACCCCTGAAAAATGATATAGAATGATATAGAATGGATATAGATATATATATATATATATATGTATGTACCCCAGTAGAACCCCTAAGATATCCACCAACCACACCAGCATCAGCACAGACATCCCTGAAGCAAGAACCTTTATACATATACCATGGAGAAACTAGAAGGGTGAAAAACAAAATATCATAAGATATCATAAGAATTTCATAGGTGACCTTGCGCCCTGACTGCCCTGACTCATCAGAACCGACTTTAGCTTTGGCCCTTCTCGTGCCCCAGCTTTCGTGCTTTCCGGAGAGACTGTGTTGGCTATGAACCGCTGGCACTGAAACAAGGTGAAATCACGGCTTTCGAAAACGCCCTGAAATCACGCTTGATTTTTTTTTAAAAAAAATCGAGTTTGAGTGTGAAGTGAAAATCACACTTTCCACGACACACTTGCACATTTAAATTGCACATGAATTCTGAATTGAAACACTGTGGTCTTTCCCAACCCTAGTCTAAAAAGTACAGGGAAAGAAGGGGTATACCTACCTACCGTTGGCATTCTCTTTTTTAATATGTGCCTTGAGAGGTTCCAGGTTTGCCCTATATGCACCGACGCACAAAATTGCGCGCTATACATTTGTTCATTTGTGTAAGTAGGATCTTGAGCCTTCATCAATCCTGCCATGCCCTCATAAATGACAGCTTCCCATACTGCCCATTTCGGTCCATATGTGAGCAAGAACCAGTTAACCTTGCACGCGGAAGTTCTGGGTTTTTCATGTTTTTTCGACATATAGACCATTTAACCGACATTAACCGTGACGCTTGAACCGTGTTAGCTGATGTTAACCATTCATAATGGGATCAGACTAAGTGGGATGATCATCCAAGACTTTTTTGACGAAGCTCGTCGTGCAGGCGTTGCGACTTCACTCTTTCATCCAAGACCAGGTGCAACAGCCGACGCGGGAGCGACAGGTGAAGAATGAATGTGGTTGATGAGTTCCAAATTCAGGAAAGGACCCCCTACTTTGCTAAATTGGTTTAATTTTACAATATTATACATATTTAATGATATTTATAAGTCCACATAAGTGGGTCATATGGTGGATATAGCTACAATAGCTGGGCAACCAACTTACTTGGATGTAGCTTCCCCAACTCCATGTCTAAAGCATCGCAGCATCTCGGCGCCAACCGATACTTTGGCCCCTTTCCCCCCTGCACTGCAATTACCCTCTGGTAATGACTAACATAGCTATTGAAAATGGCCATAGAAATAGTGGATTTTCCCAGCTATAAAATGGTGATTGTCCATAGCTATGTTAGTTTACCAGAGGGTACATCCCCAACGACAAGCTCATTTTTCATTCCCAATGAACAACATTTTTTTTCATTGGCATTGAAACCATATTACCTGACTATAAAATCTATTGGTTTGGTTTGTTTGAACATACCTCCAACATCCAGGATGGGGCCCAGTTATGTTTGTTGCTTTATAAACCCCATCCTGCACAGGCACCGACGAAGCGGATGGCCTGACACTGCTGCAACTGGAAGGCTATAGCGTTTGGGTCCTCAGACCGGATGCACCACGGAGTGTCAATGGACTTCACATATTATATATATACATATACATATACATATATATATATACATACATGTATATACATATATATATATATATACATACATATGTATATATATATACATACATATGTATATATATATATACATACATATATTGTATTTATATATAGTATTTATATACTTTAGTACTTCAATCTTTTACCGGATATAGAACCGATGAAATTAAGTGACCAAAATAGTGACCTTACGTCGCAGCGTCAACGGACATGGCTTTAACAACTGCCTTGTTTGCCCATCAGAAATGGCTATTCCACAATCAAGACCTTCGGAAATCTCGGGCCAATGCTGTGTGAATGGTTTTGTATTAGAACTGTTAATAGTTTGTTTATATTATGGTATGTACCAGCTTCCCATATATCATATATATATATAACTGTATATATATATATTTATATTAGGTGCATGTATATACATATGACATATGACTATATATATATATATTTATAAACATGCATAGTTATAGTACCATCTATTTCATGTCCCAATCGTTGGGTATTTTGATGGCAGTACCCAGGCGCGTTGCGAGGGTGCGCTCTTTCATCTCATCCGACGCTTTGACTCCGATGGTGGGCTGCGAGAGGTTTTTGTCCAAAAGTCTCAAGGTAAACCTTGGCTGATCATGTCCGTAGACCCAGTTCAAATATCACAAAACTGTGATGTGTGACTCAGATACACCCTGAAAGATTGGGGGGTTCTTGTTCTGGTTACCACATTAGGATAGAAGTTGAACCACAGGAACTTGATTTTGATTTGTGAATAGTGTAGATGATGTATGCTATATCCAACTCACAATCACTCAATATCAACTTTTGTAATTGTAAACCATACTATCTAAGGTCTGCCGTGAAAAGATCATCTTTGTTCAGGTTTCAGGGTTCTGTTTCATGACTTCATCGACTGATTTTGGTGATCTCCGTGACGTCTTTTTTTGGCATGGGTGATGCAACCCCCGAGCATCATATAACCATGGAAGCAGAGTCTGTTTTCATGACATATATGGTTATAACATGTTATAACCATAGAATATAATCATGGAACCATGGTTCTGGTGAGTTTGAAAACGCCACTGACTGCTTCGTTTTTGTTTGAATTTCCATGACATTTCACCATATGGGTTTCTTTGAAAATGGGGTACCCCTAAATCCATTGGTTACTCCATTAATTTGAGAACCCCAATAATAAACCACCCCCAAAATCACTATAAATGGGTGGTCACAATCATCCCCAAATGGTAGGTGTATGGCATTGACTTTCCCACAAGATCAAATCCTACTGACATCTTCGCAAAGACCTTTTCTATTTGTTTAGGGGCTACCATACCCCCTATTCATATCCCATTGGTAAATCATCATTGTCCCATCCATTATATATATATATATATTAAATTATATACCTCCATGAAATCACCATTCTCCCCATGAGGACACACCTCGGACGGGCACATCCTGCTGGCCTCGGGAGCACCACAGGCTCTGCGCTTGGCCTTTTTTTTTTAACTCACCATATGTTTTGGTAAATCGATGGTTGATCCCATTATTTATAGGGTTTCATCCAAATCATTCGAGGTGACCATACTTTAGTTGCGAAGTCCTGCACCAATTGATGGTAAACATCCCAATGATGGATGTGTTTCAACCATCCTTTTGGTGCAGGATTTCGCAACCATCCACAGTATGATTTGGCAAGTTTGGGGATGGTGCGATTGCTTTACTAACTAGCATGATGGTTATTACCCTCTGGTAAACTAACATAGCTGTGCAAAATCACAATTTTTAATCGGAAAATCAACTATAAATGGCCATTTTCAATAGCTATGTTAAATTACCAGAGGGTAGATGATTATTGGATGATTATCAGGATACTATAATGGATATTAATGGATGATTATTGGGATATTGATGGATGGGTTCTGAAAATGGGGGGTACTGTACCCCATTAGCTGGATGGTTTACAATGGAAAATCCCACATGTATGGAATAGTTTCCAACATTGAGCTCAAAAAATGGCTAAATGTATATAGGTAAATAATGCGGTAAATAATGGTACATATACCATAGGAGTAGGAGCATATGGGATATGAAATACTCACCAATTGCTAGGGGGTAACCATTATAGTAGGGGTATCCATTATCACTATTTCCATCATTAGTGAACATTGACCACCATATGAAATAATGTTAGTGAAGACATAGGATCCACCATCCCCAAAGTTACCATTTTTACGGGTAGCATAAGGAATCAAACTATGGGTGATTTATTAGTGCATTACCAACATTAGGCCACTTACATTGAATTAATGGTGGTTAGGATTGGGGTAACTATCCTAAAATAGCCAAACGATTCAGGTCAGTGAATTATTGTCATGTATATGGAATATCGCGAGTTAGATGCTAATGGGTTGTTTCATCTTATTTCTATGGATTATGTATAGCAGCTGTATATAAGTTCACCACCTGCTATCGATGCACATCCGAGTGTGTTGAAGCCCTTAAATCATTCACACGAACCTTTTGCATTTTACCCTGGTGATTTTGGTGACCTAATGTTTAAGTGGGCCTGTCTCAAAATAACTCAATTGAATTTCAATTGATATGTTGATGTGAAAATATCAATCATATCAATCATATCAATCATATCAATCATATCAATCATATCAATCATATCAATCATATCAATACTGATTGGTGGTGACTGGAACCATGGAATTTTTAATGACTTTCAAGAAACAGTTGGGAATGTCATCATCCCAACTGACATCAAAAGTCACCACCAACTGGCGCTGATTTCACCTTGACTCTGCAGAGTCCGGTTGTTGATCCGAAGTGAATTTTTTCGAAGCAATTCCTAGCAACGAAAATTCGAAAGATGGACAAATGGATAATGGACATATATATATAATTATATATATATTATATTATATATATTATATTATATATATATATATTATGGATAATGGATAATGGATAAAATCTATAAATCCCAATGGATAATGGAAATGATGACAAATCCCATAGCCGGCTTGATGGGTTCTTCCTGGTCGATTCATCCTCGGGATACGCAGTAGAATCCCCAGGAGTGGCAACCCGGTTCCACAGTTACCGCGGAATCTGCGGAGGGTGAGATCCCAATTGATGGTTAATTTCTTTGGGATCTAGCTACTCCAATTTCCAGAATCGGGATCTAATTAGCAAATGATCTAGTTATTCTGGTTAGATCCCAGTCAATAGACCATGTGCTAATTAGATCCTATTTTTTTACAATAAGATGGGATCCTTTCTTAAAGGTGGGCTACACATTTAATGTGTTCCACCTCTAATTTGTTTGGTGACATATCCGCAACATATCATTGGTTGAAACATGTTGAAACCATCCATGTCTCGGCTTTCAAACCCTATCCACCCAATCGTGAAATCCTGCATTTGGCAGCTTCATTAATAAGCTAACAACATATATATATATATATGTATATATATATAATTATATGATATGATATGTATATATATATATAATTATATGATATGATATGTATATATATATATATATGTATATTTTGTAATATAGATAAATAACATGTATAATATATATATATATATATAACATGTAATATATATATAATATTTGATATGAACATGGCTTTCTGGATCCTAACATGTCCAGGAAAGATGACCAGGAAATGACTTCATGACCCACATAAAAGCCATCCTCCAGGTCTATGAGCTCGCCTACTCTCAAAGTGCGGGCTGGCCGGGAGCTCGGTTGTGCGTTCAAGAGGAAACCTGATTTAACCAGCAGAAATGGTGGATTTAACCTGTTTTAACTGGGAAAAAAATGTGATTTAAGTAGCAAGCCTTGGGCATCAAATATCCGCGGTTGCCATCGGTTACCCCGTTTCTTTTCGATGGAAAAAACAATAGATCTGTGCAAACCTTGGTAATGGAGATATGACAAACAACAGTGGGGATTCACAATACATACATAAATATGACATTCCATAATTATGTTAAATTTCCAGAGGATGTACGGATGTATACATATATATATATATGACATTGTTTGTTGATCATGCCCATCACATCGATGAGATTGAACCAATAAATCAGCGTCCCATCCCTATAGATGATGTTTATCACATATGTCCGGTTAAATCAATGGCAATTTCAGGATCCTAGATTGGAGGTACCTACCATATATAAGGCCTATGTAAGGCCTATGTAAGGCCTATGTAAGGGAATATCCCCAGAAAATATGGCCTTATATGGTACAGTACCTCCATTTTAGGATCCTGAAATTCCCATTGATTAAACTATGAACATGTGCCACATGTGCCTTGGGACCTTGGGACCACGGAAAGCCATGAGGCTAGAAAAGCACCAAAAAGGCTAGAGGACCAGGAAAAAAAATGCACAAAACCAACATGGATTCCCGCTGTCAAAGCAGGAAACACTCGAAAATAGACGGCACATTGCGCAGATATGACCAGAGTTCATTGATTTGCTGTATGAGAAACCCACGTCAACCTCATATGACCCCAATCGACAGAAATGCAGACAAAATTCCAAAAATGTTGATATCGAAAAAAGAACATCTTAATTCAAGAAAAATCAAGATGCAGCCCACGAACCCGAATGCACTCACGTAGAACGGTTTTGTGAAACAAGTTATTTGAACAGTCTTGTACATTTTTCCCCTGTTACCCTACCACTAGACTGTGGAATGCGGAAGAGGGTGAAGTGCAACGTGTGGAGTGTGGAGTGTACAGTGTAAAGTCTGTAGTGTGGAGTGTAGAGTGTGGAGTCTAGAGTGTGGAGTGTAAAGTGTAGAGTGTAAAGTGTGGAGTGTGCAGTGGGGAGTGTAGAGTTTAGAGTGTACAATTCTGTACAATGTAAAATGCGGAGTGTGGAGTGTAAAGTGTAGAGTGTAAAGTGTAGAGTGTACAGTGGGGAGTGTAGAGTTTAGAGTGTGGAGTGTGGAGTGTAGAGTGTGCAGTGTAAAATGTAGAGTGTGAAGTGTGGAGTGTAAAGTGTGCAGTGTAAAGTGTGGAGTGTAGAGCGTGGAGTGTCGAGTGTAAAGTGTAGAGTGTACAGTGGGGAGTGTAGAGTTTAGAGTGTGGAGTGTGGAGTGTAGAGTGTGCAGTGTAAAATGTGGAGTGTAAAGTGTGGAGTGTAAAGTGTCGATTGTAAAGTGTAGAGTGTAAAGTGTGGAGTGTGGAGTGTCGAGTGTGGAGTGTAGATTGTAGAGTGTGGAGTGTAGAGCACGCAATGCGACACGTCTGAAGTGCTGCGCCTGCTACGCATGCGGGAAACATGAAACATCCTCCAGAAACCCCAGGTTCACCTCGAAATGCCGCCTGATTCGCCACGCGGGTGGGCTACAGGCCCGGCTGTGGGGAAGCTCAGTTGGGTGACTGGATTGACATCCAGGGGATAGCCTCGAGATGGCCAGTTTAATGGCGATACAATCGGATATAAAAGAACGATTTTTTCTTGGAAATTTACATCAATGGGGAATTTCGATGGGATTTTACATGATTTTACTCACCATGCTAATTACAGCATTTCCAATTTGGGTTTGTTTGCAAATGGCTTATTTTTTGGGAGCTAATTCAAATAATGACACACACACATATATATATATATATTATAATATATAATATAGATATAATCCATCCGAATTGTGGGCACCCTATGTTTAAATCCAACTGGGATTTTGACCAAGGAAACCTTGGATGGATACTTTGGATGGTTCAGCAATGGACTCCTTGCTGCACGCCCGTGAAAGGGCGTTTCAAGTCGCAGAAGGATAGAGAACCAGTTTCCTTATAAGGGAGCCTTGTGGCTCAAGAAATTCTGGCGTTTTTTACTGGCAGTTTCAAGCATGGAGTAGTTTGAAGGATTTTGAAGGTTCTTTTTTATTTGGCACCTTCCATTTATTTGGATCAAGCCAACCGTCATTAGTACTTTAGCCTTTTGCTACAAGTGAATATTTTAGTAGGGATACGCACAAACGAACAAAAAACACATGACTCTTGACAGGATTGTCTAAGATTGGCTGTCTGACATGCTCGCCTCAGGGGTTTCCATGGGTTTCCCACAAAAAAGGCGAGACTTTTTGCATCTTTCCTGGCGGTGCACCGGGTCGGGAAGCTTGTGGTGACTGGGTGGTGAAATCCCTGTGGGTCTTTTTTTCGTTGCACATGCCCTAAGCACTCGACAAGCGCATAGATTCAATTGGAAAGCAATCATCAGCGAGTTTTCTCGTATTCTTGGGGCTCCTAAGTTATAAGTTGGTTATAGCCCAATCTAAGTATAGTTATAACATGTTATAACCACCATAGACCTTACATATATATATATATATATTATATTATACACCACATTTAGTTGACCAGTTGACATAGCTGTGAATTCAAGGGAGCAGAAGATGGGGATCAGAAAGATGAAGGACATATGGGATAAACCATGCTAAACCATGCTAAACCGTGGCAAACCCAAGAATAGTACCTGAAATTTCATGGTCGGGTTTGTGCAGACCTCCTGGTAGAAACATCATGTAAAGTCCTTGGTTATTTCAGTGAAATTGTATCTAAAGGTATCCAGAAAATGTCACTTCAATGAGGATGAGATCGTGGAGTAGTCGTCAGGGGTACCGCCAGGCGACTTCGCTTGTTGGAATGCGCTTCCCAGGTGCGACATCCGCCGCTGGTGAATCTCCGAAATTGCTTGGGAGAACAATGGCTGGTCCCCCAATCTCTCCGAATTCATTGTATGTGTTTGGTCGTTATCCATTGTATCACAATCATTCTTGGTTGTAGCCCAATCATGTGGATATCGCAGACTTTGCTGGGGATCCGAGTCCTTGCATTTGCTGGGATAATCGTTGGAAACTATTGGGTCTCTAAGATTAGCTACTGTATGTTGATATGGGTTTGTCTGGAAGTAGTGTCCCCTAAAAATCCAGGGTAGTAAAAAAAGAACATGATCTATTCCATGGCAACTTTTGGGGGCCCATCAAACCCAACTTTTGGGGCTTACAACCATGGTTGTATATACGTTATCAGTCATCCACATTTAATATACATTTAATTTATTTCACTGGTTGAATCCCTATTTATTTTGGTTAAAGTCATTAAAACCCTATTCCTTTTTTAAATCATGTTCATTGTTATATCGTTATATCCATGAAGATTCGCCCAACAGGGCTATGTGGTGGCCGTTGACGACACCAATAGCCTCCACCTCTTCCGCATCGACGATTGGGTCTGAATGCAGCAGGGGGAATGATGTGGAATTGTCTGGGGGTGCCTATACCATAACATATCATAACCACACATGAGGTGGCATTGGCTCCAGATATACAAATATTAATATATATATATATACACCATGTATAAGAAATATACATATATGTATGTATATAAAATAGTCAGTTTTAAGTCATACAGTGAACTCTGAACCATCCATTTCTGGAGGTACGGTAGCTTTCAATTTTGAAGCAACATCCAGTGCAGTCGGTGATGCATCCCAGGCAGAGCGAGGCCCCCAGCACTGCATTTTTTTTTGGATGGAAGTGTGAACCAAGGAGCTATGACCACACTAGATTTGTTGTGTTGGAATTACTTAGCAAGACTGGTATATCACCCAAAATTTTGGGGTCCCCTATGGATTCCATGGATTATGTGGAGCCAACATATTGAATCATGAAATCCACAAGAACGTCATTAAATCTTCATCAATATTGAATACATACCTATGTCATCCTATGTCCCCATAATATGAATATGAATAATTACATATGAATGAATCATGTTAGCAATGCTAGAATGCGCTTTGTATTAAACAATGTATATATATAATATATTTATAATAATATATATATATAGTAAATCATAAGCCTAACATGTTATGATACCAAGGCTTTGGTGCCATCACGTCCGGAGAGTGTGGCCGTGCTGCAGGACTTACAAAGCTGGGTAAGGATATGAGGATATCAATGATATATAAATGCATGATGGGATATGAAAAAAACTATTTGTTTAACTCCGAAAATTCGTAAACCCAAGCTTGGATAGATAGTTTCATCTTTTCGTTGTTTGCTATAAATGAAAAATCACCACAACTCGCCTTTTTTTTGTGGACCACCAAAGATTGACCGTTGAATGAGGATATGGGTTTGCCTGAAATAGGGTAATCCAAAAATTCCCAATGGCTTATTGCAATTTTCTACAAACAGTGCATTTGGAGGATGTACCCCATGTTCAGACAACCATGTTTGTATATTAGTATAACACAACCTAATATAATTATATAATATATACACATGATTATATATATATATATAAATAAATATATATATACTATGATATAACCAAACATGGTATACATCGATATGATATTAGGTTTGGTAGCTGAACTTTATGCTGGAACCTGACCCCTAGTTAGTTGTAGTTTGGTTCACCTTGACTTGTTTCATCTGCAGCCGTTTTCGACTTCGTTCAGCGTAGATAAAAGGGTAGAGCCCAAGTGTGAGTTGCTACTTTTTCCGCTGCATGGTAGCGGAGCCCTGAATGGGCAACTGCTGTCGAAGGGCCACCGCAAACAGGCCCGTGTTGAACTGGGGTGCCTTGGTGAAAAGGATCTTGAAGATCCGAAAGTTACAGAGGTTGTTCGCCTTTGTGGGTCACCACCTACAGAGGTACCCAAAGGCCCTGCTGAACAGGGTCGCTCTGACGTACCCCAAGCAGGACTGACGGCGAAGGGTCGCTTCGACTCTCGCCAGTCATGGCTCAGCAGCCGCCAGGGCCAGTAGACCCCATGGTGATGATGGCGCAAATGCTCCAACAAATGCATGTGGCCAACCAGAACACCATGCAGCTGATCCAACAGAATCAGCAAGCAATGGAGGCCAGAGACGCAGCGATGAGGCAAGCTTTGGGCGTGCAGAGAGAAGAGACGACTGAGTCCGTGAGAGTGTTGAGTGAGTCCTTGGCAAAGCTGGCACCCAAGGACAAGTCAGGAGTGGTCGATGTTAAAGGAGTCGGCAAACCTGAGGTGCTCCAAGGCGAGACAAAAGAGCAAATAAAGCAGAAGTGGCCTCTATGGTCATTTGGTTTCACGACGTGGTTCGTATCCCAATACGAACAAGCAGATGAGATGTTGAAGTGGGCGGCAGCCTACAACGGAGTCGTGGATGATCGGGCGATAGAGCTTGAAGTGGCCACCAGGCCAGGATGGGATGATGCTGCTCGAGTGAACCGGCAGCTACACACGGCCTTGGTGTCCTTGACCAAGGGTGAGACTCTGTCTATCCTACGCAATTCGTTAGCCCAAAGTGGACTTGATGGATGGAGGCGACTTAGTCGAGAGTACGAGCCGCAGACCGCGCAGTCCAACTACCACTTGTTGGCAAAAGTGTTGAGGCCTACAAAGGCCAAGGACTTGTCGAGCCTACGTGGAGCTATCGAGACGTGGGAACGTCTCTACACTCAGTACCAAGAGAGGACCAGTGACGCGTTGAGCGATCCCACTCGTCGCCTATGCCTTCAGTCTTTGTGCCCTGACTCTCTAGCTGAACACCTGGACTTACACGCAAGCAGACTCGCGAGCTACGATGCTATGAGGGCTGAGATCGACACGTACTTGGACATCAAGACGTCGGTTCCCATGCGCAATCCGGACGCCATGGATGTTGATGCCATGGCCAAAGGAAAAGCCAAAGGCAAGCCTGGGAAAGGCAAAGGCGGTTCCCAAAGTGTTGGGCCTTGTCACGCGTGTGGCCGTTTCGGCCACCTCGCGAAGGACTGTTGGGACAGGACCGGAAAAGGCAAAGGAACTGGCGGAAAGAACGGAAAAGGCAAGAAGTCTGACGGCAAAGGCAAAGGGTCCTGGAAAGGATCCAACAAAGGTAAAGATTCCAAAGGCAAAGGAAAGCCTGGGATTAAGTCTCTGGAAGGAGAGGCGCAGGACTCCAAAGAAAAGGGTGCTGAGGCTGAAATCCAAGCGATTTTCGTCCTGGAGGAGAGCAAGCCTAAGTCCGACGAGGAATCCAGTAGAGGAAAGTCCACCGGTGAAGGCCGAGGAAAAGGAACTGGGTCAACCGAGGCGTTTATCCGCTCTCTCCTTACCAACCTGAAGTCGGTGGAAGCGCGAGAGATTCACCGAGCCAAAGTCGAGCTGAGCAAAGGAGGATCCGACGAGGATCGTCAACGGAAGTTGGAGGAGGAAATCGCGGCAAGAAAGCAACAGCTTGAGGTCCTGAAAGGACGGAGTGCACGCTTCGAAGAAGATCCACGGTACCGACAGGACATCCGCGCTGGCCACAGCGTGCGGCTGTCCAAGCGAAAATGGAAAAGCCGCGTGCGAGCGGCAAAGCACCGTGCGGAAGGGTCCACCGAAAGGGCCTTTGAAAGAAAGGAGCTTGACAACAAATGGCACGCCAAGTTCCGCGGTTCGACCGAGGATGTCGAGTGGAAAGCTGGAGTGGACACTCGCCGCCAACACCAGATCGACCGATACGGAGGTCGGTTCGAAGGAGACCGGGAGGACTTGCGGCCTGACTTGGTGATGAGGGCTCTGAACTATAAGGAGCGGAAGGAGTTCCGCCAGGAGGACGATGAGCCTCTGGAAGAAGTCAAGTTTCGCAATTGGTCCAGACCGCAATGGATGAAGCGCAACACAGCCGAGGCCAAGCACAAACACCTCAAGAGAACGGGTTGGAGACTCAGCCTGTTGCGGCAACGGAGCAAGGCTAAACGGGCGAAGTTATGGAAGGAAGGTGCCCATGTCCGCGCACGGAAAGGGTCGCTTCGACCGCTTCCGGCGGACAAAGGGTCCACGAAGAGAGAGCCAGACTTCGAGTTGCTCGCAGACCAGGCCTGGGCCAGAAAGAAGGCCAGGATTGAGGAGCCGAACCTGGAAAACCTTGTAGACGTGGCTTGGTCCAGGAAGGAGATCAAGACCCTGTCGCAAAATCTTGAATCGGCAGAAGACGACCAGGAAGCCGCTGAGATCGAAGAGGAGATCAGGGTGCATGAGGCCAAAATTGCATCTTTGATGCCGAGCAACGAGCAGAGAGACGAGCCACCATCCACCGCATGTGGGAGCCGAGACGTGCCCTGCAACGACTATGAGGAGGTGGTTGTCGAAGAGGAGCCTGTGGTTGGACAACCCGACGTCTCTGAGGATGACGATGAGACTTGGGGGAAATGGAAACCGAGTCAATGCTTGGTGGACTTGGGGTTCTCCAAACAGGAGGCCCATCATTTGGTGCGCCACTACCGTGACGAGGGCTCCGTGGAGAGCCTTGAGATCTTCAGCGTGGACGAGCCGGCAATCGACGGCGAATGGGAAAAGGTCTACGTCACTGTCGACAGTGGAGCTGCTGTTACTTGCTTTCCGGAATCCCTGGTCCAAGGTTACCAAGTGGGTGATCACTCTGGGCCAAAGCAGTATACCAGTGCTTCAAACCACGAAGTGACGGCGTTGGGAAGCGCCAGCCCTGTGATCTGCTTTGAAGATTGGCAGGTCAACAAGGTCGAGGCTGTGGTGCTGTCCCCTCTGAAGAGGCCGTTGTTCAGCACCAGCCGAATGGTTGCGGCCGGATGGAGGATTGTCCACGACAGTGAAGAGAACGGAGGATCATTTGCCTTGCATCGGGCAAGTGGAAGGAAGTTGAAGATGATCGTCATGGGCGGTGTCTACAAGATGCCCGTTTGGGTTAAGCGCAAGCAGGTTTTCGGCCGGCGGGGAGACATCCCGTAAGGCCGAGTGAGTCATCAGAAGGAAAAGTTTCACCCAGCCATTTTGGCCAATCCCACGGACCGGATCGTTTCGATCGTGTCCGAAATTCTGACATTGCACCAGTGGAAGGAGAATTCGAAGAGGAAAGCCTTGTGCCTTCACCAAGTGTAATGGAGGATGAATCGCATCCGCCGCAGCAAGGAGAACCAGCAGGCGAGTATGAGGAAACCGAGCCTGGGTTTGAAGTGGACGAAGATGAGGCTCAAAGTGCAGGTGTCCAAAAGACCCCGATGCTTCCAAGCCAAAGTGAGATTGACGAGCACAACCTCACTCACCTGCCGTTCCGAAACTGGTGCCCGTTTTGTATCCGTGGGAGAGGACTTTCTTCGGGGCATTTTGCCCGCAGGAGTGTTGACGAACAGCAAATTCCCACCATATCGGTGGATTACTGTTTCATGGGCGATTCGGCCACAAGAAGTGCAGATTTGCCTGTGATAGTGGTCCGGGACAGAAGGACCAAGTCGGTGTGGGCACACCCTGTGCCTTCCAAAGGAGTTGAAAATCCCTTCGGAGCCAACCAGCTGTTGAAGGACCTTGAGTCCACAGGGTACAAGCGTGTCATCTTGAAAGGTGACCAGGAAAGCAGCGTTCAAGCTATGCTGCAACGAGTTAAGAATGGGTTCCAAGGGGAGTGCGTCCTGGAAGAGGCGCCTGTGGAAGCTCACGAAAAGGCCAACGGAGAAGCGGAGAGGGCCATCCAAATGGTCCAAGGAATGGCAAGAACCCTGAAGGAGTTCGTGGAGTACCACGCCGAGGTCGAGTTGAAAGCTGACCATCCTGCACTCACTTGGCTCGTGGAACATGCAGCCACTCTACTTACTCTCTACCACAAGGGAGTTCCAAAGGATGGAATGACTGCCTATCAGAGGATGAAGGGCAAGCCTTGGAGGGTACCAATCCCTTCTTGGGGTGAACTCGTGGAGTTTCGACTTCGCGGTCGGTCAAAAATGGAGTCGCGATGGCAGCCAGGTATCTTTGTGGGGATTAACCGTAACTCTACAGAGAAGGCAGTGGCTACCCCCGAAGGAATTCACTGGGTAGTTAGTCTGCGAAGAAAACCGGAGTTGGCCCGGTGGGATGGTGCCATGTTGAAAAAGATCAGGGGAGTACCCTGGAACCCGGACGGTTCCGAGAGTGAAAGGTTGGACAAACCCTTGTCCTTAAAAGCAGAAGTTCCAGAGGTCGACGTTCGGGAGCCTGAGCCGTTTCGGCTCGAGCCCGCGAGTAGGAACTTGTACATAACCCAAAAGAACCTTGAGAAGTTCGGCTACACAGCCGGATGTCCAGCGTGCGACAGTGCACGAGTCGGTAAGAGGAAGCCCGGAATAGCTCACAGTGCCAGTTGCCGGATTCGACTGGAGAAAGCGGTCTCTGAAGACCCCGTGGAGAAGGAACGATACGATCGAGCCTTGCTGAAGGCGGCGGAAGCCGAGTTAGCTGCAGCGCAGAAGCAAAAGGAGGCTGAGAAAGCGGAAGCCGTGGTGGTCGACCAGAAGGAAGCTGGTGGAGCTGAGGCATCATCAGCATCGGATCCTTCGAAGTCTGGAAGGATCGGACCTGCTCTAACGGCAAGGGCCGCTTCGGCCGCTGCCGGAGAAGAGGTTAGCAGTCCCAAGAGGTCAGTGGAGACTGGCCCAATGACCGAAGAGAGGTCCCCGACTAGGAGGCGAGCCACAGAAGGCAGCCCCTCCAAGAGAAAGCATGAGGGAGGAGGCGAAGAAGAAATTGAAGCGTCGCAAGAGGCGCGTGTGGTCGACACTCGCGTGATCGACACAGAAGCCTCGATCAATGAGTTGATTGAGATGCACCACGATGAGTGCGTGTGTGCCATAATCGATGAGGCAACAGAGCGGGGAGAGACCCGACCGGTGTGTGAAGAGCCAGATTTCTTCGAAGCTCACTTCGAAGAATTCTAACGATATTTCCGGGAGAGAACTAGACCCCGACCGGGTGGTCAAAGCCAGGAAAGAGGAAGTTGACTTCATACGCAAGATGGGCGTGTGGCAAGAAGTGGACAGACCCCGTGACAAGCCAGTGCTGAAAGGCAGATGGGTCGACATCAACAAAGGTGATTCCACCAATCCCCGATACCGTTCGCAGTATGTCGGCAAGGAGATAAAGAAAGGCAGCAAGGGTGCCTTGGTAGCCGATTTCTTTGCGGCAATGCCACCTCTCAGTAGCTTCAAATTGCTGCTGACGCTCGCTATGGTGGATCGGTTCTTCGGTGTGGATGGGACGGTTCGTCCTCGCACCGAGCCGTGGTACATCATGTTCATTGATGTGAAAAGGGCACACTTCGTGTCCGATGCAACTCGGGAGTTGCACGTTGAGCTGCCCTGGGAAGTGCGAAGACCTGGGGAAGACAAAGTGGGCAGGCTTCTTAAAAGCCTGTACGGCACGCGGGATGCCGCTTCCAACTGGGAGAAGACGATACGCAAACTGCTCGAGTCCCTTGGGTTCGTTTGTTCCTTGGGAACACCGTGCAACTTTCTCCATGCCAGGAGAAACTTGAGGTGCACAGTGCACGGAGACGATTTCGTCACCCTAGGACCTATCCATGAGCTGCGAAAGTTTTCACAGGAGCTGAAAGCAGCATGGATGATCGAAGAGCGTGGAATCTTCGGTCCGCCAGAATCTAGACATCTGGGAACGGTGCAAGAAATGCGCCATTTGAACAGGATTCTCAAGTGGACTGATGAGGGAATCTCCTACGAGGCTGACCCTCGCCACGTGGACATCGTAGTAAAGGCTTTGGGAGTGAGCAAAGCGGTGACTACACCGTTGGTTCGAGAGCCACCGGACAACGTGGACGTCAAGGACAAGATGCTATCTGAACAGGAGGCGACCTTGTACAGGTCGTGTACTATGAGGATTGGATATATATCCCAGGACCGGACAGATTTGCAACGAGTGACGAGAGAACTGGCAAAGGGCATGTCAGCGCCTACGGAGAGGCACATGGAGTTGCTCAAAAGGTGCAGCCGGTACCTCCTACACTCACCTCGAGTGATCCAAATGTTTCGTCGTCAACGCATCCTGACTCGACTGGATGTTTACAGCGATTCGGATCATGCCGGATGCATACGCACCAGGAAATCAACATCGGGATGTGTGATCATGGCAGGATGCAACCTGCTGAAATCAGTGTGCCGCGGTCAAGCCGTGGTAGCGCTCTCATCAGGAGAGGCTGAATTCTATGCCTTGGTTACTTCAGCATCGGAAGCTCTGTGTGAGCAGTCCATCGCAAGTGAATGGGACGTTCGATTGTCAATCAATCTCATCTTCGATGCGACGGCAGGAGCTGCGATGAGTTCCCGTCGAGGATTGGGGCGTGTGAAACATGTTCACACTGCATTCCTGTGGATCCAGAACTATGTGACCAATGGGTTGATCAAGCTCACCAAGAAGCATACGTCTGAGAACTTGGCAGACATACTCACCAAACCTGTGACTGCGACTTTGATGGTTCAAATGATGGACCTGATGGGATTCAGGTATGTGGCAGGTAGATCGAAGATCGCCTTCGCTGTGTAGAACGGCTTGAGCCACCTTTTTAGTGTCTCCAGTACTCCTGATGTGACAACAGTTCATCAGTCGGGAGGCGTGCTGGAACCTGACCCCTAGTTAGTTGTAGTTTGGTTCACCTTGACTTGTTTCATCTGCAGCCGTTTTCGACTTCGTTCAGCGTAGATAAAAGGGTAGAGCCCAAGTGTGAGTTGCTACTTTTTCCGCTGCACTTTATGGTTTGTATTTATACCCCGCTATATGGAACAATTTTCTAAGGGAATGCTATGATCAGCCATTTGGTCTTGGGGTAGCCTAGTTTCGGACAAATCCATATTGACCTCAGCATCTTCTGCCCTAAACCCCAAACCCTCTCGTGCAGCTGCGTCAACCCTGGTTTGCGTGATTGACCTATAATCAAACATGTTAATTGGAAATACACTATGAATAAAAGGTTGATTATGGGACAATCGAAGGAAGTTTAGAAGTCAAACTTCCAAAAATATGGACCGATGAAAAAGCAGAGGTGGGAAGAATCAGAGAGGAGAAGAGCAGAAGAGAGAAGATGAGAGAAGAGAAAGAGTGAGAAGAAAGAAGATGCAGGTGCACGAAAAGGTAGGAAAGTCGCGAAACACTATGTTTTTCCGAAGATGTGTGGCTCCGGAGGGTCGAAAAATAGGCTCGCTAAAGCGGCGGGTGCGGAGCCATCTGGCCAGATGAGAAATGAAAAGTTGCACGCCGTTGTGGCGCGAAGCACATTTCCAAGTCAAAATGTGCAAAACACAGCAGGGCCGGAGCACTTTTGGAAGTTGTGAAGCATATTCCAAGTCAAAATGTACAAAACACACCATTCTCGGAGCACTTTTGGAAGTGAGATGTCGAAAAGTGCACGCCGTTGTGGCGGGAAGCACATTTCCAAGTCAAAATGGTAAAAACACAACATCATGCTCGGACCACTTTTGAAGGTTCAGATGTGGTTTTGCTTCGCAGGCACTAGGGATTCTGCACCTTGCCAAAAGTGAGCAAAACGGGAGGGTTTGTAGCATTTCCAAAAACGATGGCATGCGTGGGACATTTGAAGAGGATGACTTTACCGGCCTCGCAGCTGAACATGAAACAACCAAAAGGGATTGCAACTTACATCAAGATCAATTTGACATTTGTTTTTTTTAGTTTCTAGCATGCCTACAAAGACGCTATTACATGCTTTTATATGCTTTTACATTTAATACAATTGATGCAATTGGCAGTGAGGAAGGTGTCAAGGGGTTGGTATCTCAAGTAACGAAACTGTGCTGAGATTGTTGAAACCTATGTCTTGGAAATCTGTCGGTAGCCAAGAATTCTCAATGCCTTTTAGATCAAACATGATTTAACAATAAATAACCATTACGAAACACCACTCATAAACCTCAGCAGTTGTTGGGGCGTGATTGTTGTCAATCCTCGTGGTGGCCACCCGGATGATTTGGCTGGTGTTTTTTGATGTCTTTTGGAACCCTATGCTTTCTGTGCCCCAATCCTGGCTGCCAGAGGGCGTTACGCCACGAATGTGAGGAGCACATATAGCACACGATAGCATATTAAAGCATCACAATATATTATACCACAGTTCATCATGAGTTAGAGGAGCACATGTAGTAGTATACGATAGCATATCAGAGCATCATAACATATCACAGTTCAGTACTCTAATTACACTTGACACTCCACACTCTTCTAAACACGACACTTTACACATTACACTCCACAGTCCACACTGCATAGACCGAAAGACAACTGGAAATACAGACAGATAGACAAGGAAATGGATAGATCTCGAAAGAGAGAAATAGAAAGAAAGATAGATAGACATGGTGTCTTGAATTCAAGATTCTTGGTCCACCAAGAATTTCCTGTCGAGCATCACCGTTGCACGGGCTTGCGTGGCCGGCGCGCCAGGGGAAGGAAGTCCAAGGTGGGTAATGGTTGGCGTTGTGCATTTGAAAAACACAGGTTGCGTAGATGCTTGTCGACAGTCGACGTTGAGTCAGATTTCTTAAGCTCACAGACTGACTTCGGACCCGCGGCCAGACATCCTTCTCGAAGCCCAGACGTTTCCCGGCGCATGCTTCATGCTGGTTGGTGAAAGAAAACTTCAGGAGCAGCCGACAAGCACCGTCGACATCCTTGGGCCATGTTCAGAGCAGCAGAACTGTTAAGTTAATTGTGGCCTGGGAAGGTACGACCCTTTGGAGCAGTCCAAGAGGTGTGACGTCGCAGTTGCAGTCAATTTTATTCCTTCAAAAAGGGGCACCCCAATAAATGATTTGCAGGGTTAAGTCCAAGAGACGTACCCAGTGAGGAGTTTGATGAAGTCACTTCGAGATTGAAAATCAACTCGACCTAGCTCACAAAATCGTGCAACATGGTGAAGTAGGACAAAGCACATGCGCAGGAAACAACGCTGAAAAACTGTACTGGCCACCTGACATGGTTTCCGTATTGGAATTCCAGTCCATCGTCACCACATTTCCTGTTTGCCAGTGGATATCTATCGGCAAGTGATGCCCCAACAATCAGCTCTACCTTCCTCATGTTGCTGCTTACCTCCTGTTTGTGGTCGTCAGTTACGTGGTGGTTTCCTTTTTACTAGCCGGAGCAGTGGTATTTACCCATCTAATCATCTAATCTCGAAGAGTCTTACGAGCTGCATCATTGCTTGGCTTTCCTGCATAGTTGTGCATCTCCACATCCATCCGCCCGGGTCAATTTCGAAATTGTTCATCGATATCAAGTCCTGGGCCTCACGTGCCACTCCAAGAAGTACCCCCATGGCTAGAATTTCGGGTGAAGGAAGCCTAGCTTAGCCCAACAAAAATAATTGGACCACATACACCCTTGCAAAAGTACCAAAACACGGAAATTGTTGATCATTCTTGCCAGAACTCCTGACTTTTCCCCATTTTGCTTTCCCAGCCTGTTGAAAAATAATTCAATGTTTTGCTTTCCCAGCCTGTTCAAAAAGACATTTTTTTGAAGTCGCTACACAATTACTTCCAGTAGTTTGATGGGTAGACGGCTGCATAGACAGATAGAGAGCAAAGCAGATGGATGGAAAGACAGATAGATGGATAGGTAGATAGACAGATAGATAAGTAGACAGACAACTAGAAGGATAGGTAGATAGATAGATAGATGGATAGATAAAGAGATAAATAGACAGATAGGCAGATAGACAGACAAATGGATGGATAGATAGAAAGAAAGATGGATGGATAAATTGATAGATCGACGTTCCAACCACCTTTCGGTCCATCAATCGGTTCGCTCTGCCATCCGTGATTCACAACAACTCACCTCTCCTATAGGTGTCCTATTTTTGAAACTTCCGCCACCGCCTTGTGCGGTACTACTGGTAACCTATAACTGG